GGATCTATCATTTATTAGAAAGAATTAACCTTTCACTAAAGAGAGTGAGAGAGGGAGTTTGGTTTACTGATACTTTGAATTTGATTTTGAGTTGGGAGGTAGGTGCTTGATGGGAGCTGCTTTGGGAGACAGGTGCTTGATGGGAGCTGGCTTGGGAGGTAGGTGCTTGATGGGAGCTGCTTTGGTAGGCAGGTGCTTGATGGGAGCTGGGTTGGGAGGTAGGTGCTTGATGGGAGCTGCTTTGGGAGGTAGGTGCTTGATGGGAGCTGGGTTGGGAGGTAGGTGCTTGATGGGAGCTGGTTTGGGAGGCAGCTGCTTGATGGGAGCTGGGTTGGGAGGTAGGTGCTTGATGGGAGCTGCTTTGGGAGGCAGCTGCTTGATGGGAGCTGCTTTGGGAGGTAGGTGCTTGATAGGAGCTGGTTTGGGAGGCAGCTGCTTGATGGGAGCTGGGTTGGGAGGTAGGGGCTTTATGGGAGCTGGGTTGGGAGGCAGGTGCTTGATGGGAGCTGGGTTGGGAGGTAGGTGCTTGATGGGAGCTGTTTTGGGAGGCAGGTGCTTGATGGGAGCTGGGTTGGGAGGCGGGAGCTGGGTTGGGAGGGAGGTGCTTGATGGGAGCTGGGTTGGGAGGCAGGTGCTTGATGGGAGCTGGTTTGGGAGGCAGCTGCTTGATGGGAGCTCGGTTGGGAGGTAGGTGCTTGATGGGAGCTGTTTTGGGAGGCAGGTGCTTGATTGGAGCTGGGTTTGGAGGCAGGTGCTTGATGGGAGCTGGGTTGGGAGGCAGGTGATTGATGGGAGCTGGGTTGGGAGGGAGGTGCTTGATGGGAGCTGCGGTGAGGAGTTGAATCATCTTAGGCTCTTCATGTTGTGTCCACCAATGCTGACCACTCTCAGTGCTGTTATGGACTGTGGTGTGGTGATCAGGCCATTGTGTGTGGTGGGGCAAGAGAATTCAGCGAACATGAGGTTGTTATCATAACTTAACTCCTGGATGTTTTACCCTCTTTAATAGCCTTGTTATTCTCCATGCCTTTAAAGACCCTGTCTTATGTCATGTTAAACCTTTTGGAAGCGATCCATGAACAACTTTTATGAGAATGTTTAATATTTTGTAATTCTAGCAATGAAACATGTTGTTACAAAACAAGGTTGGCCTGTTTTTGTCACTGCAGCATTAGAATAATGTATAACAAAAGCCCCTGATGGGAGATTTACCGTATAAGTATCTGACCTGATGGACAAATTGTAACTAATACCATGTGAAAACAGCACGGTTGATCTTTTGTCACACCTGTTTAATGCTTGTAGTATTACATTAACAGTACACAGGAATAAGTTAAGCATGTAACTGATCTGCATGCTCAACCTGGGTCCCTCCAGTCTTTCCCAGGTAGTAACATTGTGAGTACCTGACAGGGCTCCTAGCTTCGGATGTAATCAATATGTTGCAACCTTTGAATCAGAATACAACCCTTTGACATTATGTTACAAACAATTTGCATGATAAAGTGTTCATTGTGGTCCCCCCCCCCCCCCCCCCCCCCCCCCACCACCACCCCACCCTGTTCAACAATTTGATTGCCTTTTAACCAGTCTTTATGTGAAATTTGTATGGTTTAACTTATGTTATTTAGTATCAACAAGATTGTGTGACGTGTTGATACAAACAGCCTCTTGTGTGTTTATGTCAGCTTGCTAATCTCTCAGGATCCAGCACTCAAACATTCCATAATGTTTGTCACATTAAATGGAGATTTTTTGAATATCTACAGGTTCTTTAGAGTTCTCACACCTCCTTAATATCAGTTGTAAAGTCACAGTTAAGTCCAGCATTGATGAAGGATGTCTTCCAGAGCTGTCAGGCTTGACTTCTCCACAAGGGCACCTGCTGGTTCTGAGTGTTTTATGTGTAAATAATGAGGACTGTTCCCTTGGCTTGTTTGTTTGTTGTGCTGGTTTTTCTAAAGAGCTTGCATAAAGCAAGATTGATGATAATTTTCGCAAATTCTGACAATTGGTTTTCAAAGTGATAGTGTGCCGAAAAACAGGATAAATGCACATCTCATGCGTTTAGGAGATTAGATTTTGACAGCCGCATTTCATGTTTCCTGATGCAATGATGTCATTCACGTATGGATAATACTGCATCACCAGTCTTGACAAAACTTATTTCCTGCTGGTGTAATCTTGAACATTTATCAGAGACATGGCGGGCAATGAAGGAAGGATAATCACTTCAGCTAGGCAGGAGGGTCTTCTAAGTGTTTATGTGAAGAGTGGGGACTAATTCTAAACTCTACTGATTTGTTCATGGTAGACCATCAAACCCTGTTATCTCCAAGGACTCTCAGTGTACGGATGAGTTTGAACCTGTTACTTTGTTGTGATGATATATTTACCAATAATATAGACCATTTATCTCATATTAAAGATAAACATATATATGCGCATATTTTGTAAATGAATTGGTCTGATTTATTAATTATGTATAAGCTTGTAGCCTTATGTCAGCCTTGGTTTGATGTATATACTCACCACCAAAAGAAACATGAACCATGGAATCCATGAAGTTTGTACGTTAAGAGTATGTGAGTGAGTGAGTATGGTTTTATGTAGCTTTTAGCAATATTCCAGCAATATCACGGCGGGGTACACCAGAAATGGGCTTCACACATTGTACCCATGTCAGGAATCGAACCTGGGTCTTCGGCCTGACGAGCAAACGCTTTAACCACAAGGCTACACTTGTACGTTTAGAGATGTTTCCAGTGTGTATTAATTAATGACAAAAAACAATCAGTCAAGTGTTACCACAGTGTGTCTTTATTCTTATCACGATAGGCTGCACATGATTTCCGGACTTAACATGCTAATCGTGCACGAGACAAATGGTGCATCTTGAGTCATGGATCTATCACATTCATAAGCATCGGTTCACATAACATACCAGTATGTTCGTTTGTGCATAAACCAATCTAATTTCTCTTGAATATGAGTAGTCTTTATATATTAACCAACATATCTGGTCTTCACGTTTCTTTTGGCGGTGTGTATTGTAACGAAACTTTGATGTCAGTCTGAGTCAAACTGCTCATTTGGAAACTTGTGTATCCTTGTGTTCTAAATCTCTTCTATATAATGGCTCTTCCGGGAGACTAGCTTCAGACAATCTGCAAGACATAGGTTAGGGCTCAGTCACACATTCAGGAATTTTACTGCCGTCCTTGAAAGGACCATTCCCAATTAAAATTTGTCAAAAGTCTGATCAAGATCCTGTGATTCGTGGCAGGAAACTCACAAACAATCAGCTCCAGCTGAATTCGTCACGATTCTCACGTTTTCAATCTGAATCTGATCACATTTGTATCTTCCGCATGGTAAAAACGGCCGAATCTGTCCCGCAATCTGGACTCAATAAAAAAGAAACGGCAATGAACAATTCATGCCAGTTCATTACGACAGCATCCCGATCCACAGGACATCGTCCAGGCAACACAGGACATTGTTATGATTTTGATCCGATACAGCAGAATCTGTCACGACATAGTCACGATTGTAATCCGACTAGACAAAATCGGCTGAGTTTTGTGAATGTTACCGGATGCACCATACTGTCGGGAGTGCTTGGACCTTTTCCGAATCGTAGGACTCGGTTACGAATGTATGCAACTGCGTTCAGACAATGATAGGACATTCCAGATGATTGAGGATAGTAATCCAACTTTTTCACTTTCGTGTCATAGCGCTGTCTGATCTCAAACGGGAGCCATAATGGGCACTGTGTGAACCTGGCCTAACTTACAGGGCATTCTCACACAACTTTACTTCTCCGATTCCAACTGTGCATCGTCGATCTATCTGGCAATAAATTATTACCCTGATTTCACAGAGATGAAGTCTCATTTTCACAGAAGACACTAATTACAGCATTTAGAGGTTGCCAGGAGGTGGGCAGCTTTGTAGGGTAACTAGCAGTCACTGCTGATAGCTGTTTACAGCAAATGTCCCCTCCTTAGAAAGTATATCATCACTGCCTGGTCCGGTTAGAAATAGATAGTTTGTCTGTAGGTGTCATCTATATGTATGGATGATGGATGTCTTGCAGTTAAACATACTGTGACTTCTATGTTGAACTGGGTTACCTGTAGATTAACCAAGCTAAATTGAATTTGGAACAGCAAATGTAAACTTTCAGGAATTAAAGTTTCAAAGTTTGGTGTCACCGGTAGGAGCAATGTTGTCTATTCATTTGTTCAGCAGTTTAACCAAGAACAAAAGTTTCAAAAAAATAACAATTTGTCAAAAATGTATATGACTTAAATAAACAATGGAAATGTTTTCGGCCACAACTTGTAAAGACACGCTCTTTAACAGAGCATTTCATTCTGCCGGAGACAACACAGCATATATGGTACCACATAGCCTTGCTCCAAGGCTGTGTACTGAAAGAAAAAGCCATGGATGTGTAGTAATTCTATCCTCCTACGGGGGCACGGATGGCCCAGTCGTCTAAGGTGCTGTGATTCGCTATGCAGAGTTGCGTTCCTTGGGCTCGCCAGAAACCTATGATTGTGGCTTCGAATCCCGGTTCACCCTGATTATGTTTCTAGGTTTGTCAGCACCATACCTGTGCTCGTGGGTTTCACCGAAGTGGTAAACGTCTGAGACCTGCATCACTTCAGGCTTTCCTCCCACATTAAGCTGACACGCCGTGATATGACTGGAATACTGTTAAAGGCGGCGTTAAACCCAACTCACTCACTCACTATCCTCCTAATAGGCAAGTCTAGATATGTGGACAGTACATCTAAGGACTCTAGTCTCTTATTGGGATAACTTGTTCTTATTATTTACATAATCTAGAAATTATGATTTAAACTAATAGTTGTTGCCTTAGATATGTCTTAGATATGCCTTAGATACAGCATGCTCCTCCATAACATTTTTTGTGTATTTAGAAGTTGGTCAGACTTGATTGCTCCAACGTGTTGTTGATGTTGCAGCCTAGGGTTCAGCCTACTGGTGGGGTATGGGTTGATGGTGTTGCTGCGACGATGCCGAGAGAACAGGAAGCACCTGATGATGGCCCTGCTTGCATACCTGGCCATTCTCGCCACCAAGACATGGACGCAAAACGCTGTCTGGATGTCTAGAGAGGCCCTGTTTAGGTGAGTTAGAAGACTTTAAACAGAAGCGTCAATCAAGAGAGGCCCTTTTTGGGTGAATTTTAGGGTTTTATCAGAACCTTGAGAGGGCCCCATTACGGTTGGTTATTGGAACATACAGACCTTTGTCTATACGTGAGGCCCTGTTATGTGAGGTAGTTGGATCATGTAGCAACACACTGTTCTACTTTACAGAGTCCCTGTTTGGGTGCACTAGGTATTGTGTCAGAGAACTGTCTATACAATCTTCTCTCTGGTGATCTTGTACAGAACACAGTGTTGATCGGTCAGCTGGTTTGATCAGCCAGAGAGTGGGGCTATGGCTGAATAGTATCATGGTATGAAATCAACTGGCATTGTTGTTTTCACTTGCGCAGGTGACCTTGTACAACTGCTTATTTATATTGCATGTTAGCAAAACAAAAGCTTACTTCAGTTGACACACAGCAAACAGGATGTGTAATCATTATCCAAACAATCTTTACAATCCAGGATGTAAATAATCTTTTTTAAGATATGTTAAAAAAGAGTGTTATGGTATCATTGTCAAATAAACAAAGAGACAAAACCCTCTCCATATCCAACAGATATGTCTGCATAAAGCAGAGTCAATTGTACGATTCCGACTACATCATGAGCATGTGTTCTAATAGTGGTCTAGTGGTAGAGCATCTGCCCGGAGAGCAGAAGGTCCAGGGTTTGATCACCGACCGACATACCAAAAGATGTTGAAAGATGTTGCTTGTTGTTACCCTGCCTGGCGTCGGCATTAAGGGGCTCTAAACAAGGAGTGGTCGGCTCGGAGTCGGTATACTGTGTCTGAGTGGGGTATTCATGTTAAACTGTTGCATGGTATCTCAGTGTGCTAGAACTATAAATCGGCATCATCCCAAACACATGCAAAGGCAAGTCAATTGTTAATCAGAACAAAACAAGGGAACATATCGTACAAGTAAAAATAGGGAATTGCATCGGACAATTTTCACTCTACCACAGTGAAATTAAGGAACCCTGTTTAACCGATGTTTAATCTGTTTGCAAACCTACAATTTCACCTTGCAGTTTTCACTCTACCACAATGTTACCTGGAACAATGTTCAACCTGTTTGCGAACCCCCCTGCCTTGTGATGTTATCATCCGTATACCCCAACAGCTATTCTCGACCAAAGATTATGCTATGGGCTTCCACCCCTCTCATACAAGTCTAATATTTTCACAAGAAGGTTTGACAAATACTAAACCAGCTTTGTCGACCGTATATTCTCATTCTGTGTATAATCCTGAAGTAATGGCGACTGTGATGTTGACCAATGTCACACCTGGATTGATCAAAGGAGACACCTGGATGGGGGGTCTGTGGGCAGGTAGAGGTGTAATCCAGGTAACAGGTACTTGGTGACGGAACAAGTGTTTTCACAGGACATCCATCCCTGATGTTGTGCAATTAGATGCGGAAGAAGTGGATTGATATCAGCTTAACTATTAGGGAATTTTGTATGATTAATGGAGAAACTCTGTTGTATGAATTAAATATATTTGAACATAGACTTTTTTAATTATGGTAATTGAACAGAATTTCTGATGTGTTCATACAAATGAGAATGGGACTTGACAAATGTCGTGTTACAGCTACGATGTGTCAATATAAATGATTTTAATATGCACATGACTAATTCATTGAACCAATCTGATTTTTCTCAGAAGTATGTAAGACTCGGGTTAGAATAGGTCTTCAGCAACTCATGATTTTGTAAACGGATTTTAATATGCACATGACTAATTCTTTGCACATGACTAATTCATTGAACCAATCTAATTTTTCTCAGAAGTGTGTAAGACCAGGGGTAGAATAGCTCTTCAGCAACTCATGCTTGCTGTAAAAGGTGACTATGCTTGTCGTATGAGGTGACTATGCTTGTCGTAAGAGGCGACTAATGAGTTTGGGTGGTCAGACTTGCCAGCTTGGTTGATGCATGTTATTGTATCGCAATGGCATAGATAGATGCTTATGATATCAATCACTGGATTTTCTGGTTTAGACTCGAATATTTACAACCCGCCGTCATATAGATGGAATATTGCCAAATGCGGCGTTAAACAACATACAGAAGCAGTGTGTAAGGATTGTACAAAATAACGGGGAACGTTTTATCTTGGGTCACTGATCTGGTGACTCGGAGAGTAGTTGGATTGCTGACCACGTTCGTCAGCTTGACTCCTAGGAGTTTCTAGGTCTTCTGCCCTGCCCCACACTGGAGCACATGTAGCACATGGAGCACATGTGGTGTCACCTTCGGCAAGTGACTTTGTTCAAAATGTGCCTCTGTTTGCTCAGCAGTGAGTGGGTACCCGGTAGGATGAGATGGTAATGTGGCTGTTAACCTTCTAGCGCCTCACAGGCAGGTTGGGTTGTATACTCCCTAGGGAGCTGAGAAAGAAAATGGAATACACCCTGATCCATTGACCAGGATAATAATGTAGCATTTTGAGCACGCTTTAGGGTGTGGAATTGGTGCATTATGAATATGCACATTATTTTTACATTATTTGCACACAGTAAAGATTTGCTCCACAAGTTGAAAAATCAATTGTTGTCCCCCGCCGCGCGAAGCGCGAAGCGGGGGATATAGTATTCACGACCGTCCGTACGTCCCACCTGTTTGTTGCCGCGATATCTCAAGAACTAAACACTGGATTGTCTTCATATTTGGAACTATGGTGTATATACAGACTCCGCAGACACCAGTCGGTTTTGGTGACCTTGACCCCATTTTCAAGGTCACAGCAGGCATATCTGCTTTTGGAATTGGAAAACGGTGTTGCCGCGATATCTCAAGAACTAATCTCTGGATTGTCTTCCTATTTGGTACTAGGGTGTATATACGGACTCCGCAGACACCAGTCGGTTTTGGTGACCTTGACCCCATTTTCAAGGTCACAGCAGGCAAATCTGCTTTTGGAGTTGGAAAACGGTGTTGCCGCGATATCTCAAGAACTAATCGCTGGATTGTCTTCATATTTGGTATTTTGGTGTATATACAGGCGGGGGACATTTGGTCACTTCTGTGACAAATACTTGTTTTCCTCATTTTCGCCACATGTAATTCTGTACTTGATCCTATCTGAAAAAAAGGTAAAAAAAGGCTATTTGAAGTCATTGGCATTTAAAGAAAAATATTTTAAAAATTTCCATTTTGAGTGTACTAGAATAGGGCTGGTTTCCTTTTTCTATATTTTGTGTGTTTAGAAATTGTACATAATTTACAATTTCCTTTTCATCTTGACTCTTCATTATTTTGATATTCACCTGTATATGAAAAGGACAGACTGATATAGCATTCCTATAATCACACATTGCATACAGTGCTTGACATTTTCAGTTCAGATTAACAGTAGCTGAATATTTACTGGACCAAAAAATCTGTATTTTCAGTCCTCCTTATGATTTGACTCCATTATTTCCGTATCGACTTGTAGAGGAAAGTAAACCTCTGAACCAATATTGATCTACAAAAATAATAGTATCTTTCTGCTTCGTGTAGAGGAGGTTAAAGGGCCCTCCATACTACCAGACTGGGCAGTAGGTATTATCACATAACATGCATGGGTGATTATAGCTGTAGTGGGCCGTGTAGTGTGGTTCCTGCGCCTCAAGGCATAGACAGTCTGCTAGCTATGACAGGTTCCCTTAGATCTTCACAACTGCCACCCAATTATTCACAGACAGTCTCACAGAAATTGGTAGAAAGTACATGTGCAGTGTATGTCCCCCTGACATTGACAGTCAGTTAGGTGTAACAGGTACCCCCAGATCTTCATAGCACACCTCCCACCCAAACAGTCACAGACAGTCTCACAGAAAATGGTGGAAAGTACATGTGCAGTTTTTGTCTCTTGACATTGACAGTGAGCTAGATGTAACAGGTACCCTCAGATCTACATACCTCCCACCCAAACAGTCACAGACAGTCTCACAGAAAATGGTAGAAAGTACATGTGCAGTTTTTGTCTCTTGACATTGACAATCAGCTAGATGTAACAGGTACCCTCAGATCTTCATAGCACACCTCCCACCCAAACAGTCACAGACAATCTCACAGAAACTGGTACAAAGTAAACATGCAAATATTATCAGAGCTGTGATGGGGCGAGGCTGAGTATCATTGTAAATGCCGTGTCAATAACGACAGCGTTGCCTCCCGAGAATCTCAGTTTTGATTAAGTGTACAGGGCCACAGCTTATAAGATTCCTGTTCTCGATGTGACAAGCATTTGCTTCCCTTGATTAGCGTCGACCATGAAGAAATTCAAGCATGTCTTTGTATATCTTGTCAGATTTTGTAAATGGAAATCCAGTTTTTTGGTTAGTTGTATGTGTGAAGTGTGGCTCGGAGCTGGTTGTGTCGCTGCAGCAACCGCTTGATAACAAGCTGAGACACACGGCTCCGTCATTGTCCACTTTTGTGAGCAAATACTCTTCTAAATGGTTACCAATTTACTTAGTGAATTGCATATTTGCTAAAAAGTTTAGACACGTGCACAGTAAGACCTGAGTTTGGGAAGTGAATAAGGTTCAAAATGTCTTGTTTTTATAACAACAATAGAACACTGGGCCCTTGTGCTGGGAGGTGCAGGGCACTTGTGCACTTGTGCAGGGATGGGGAGGCCTATTGGGACAGGTGATGATGTTGCAGTTTCCGATTCAGAGGCTGTTTGTTTGCAAAATATTTGTCTTCAATCCTTACATTATTGAAAAAATTATTTCCACATTTTTAAAATGTGTCAAAATATTTGAAGACGTCTTATGCTTGTTATTTTATTTATACGTACGATTTTGAAGAATTACTAGAATCATCACTCGGTGACTGGACTTGAGTAGACTTAGATGTGAAGTAGAGAAATGTCTTTTTAATTCACTCAATATGATTATTATTTTCTTATTAATCTGAGATAGTTGTATGATAATAGTTTCAAAAGCTGGGATGTCGGTTTTTGATAAAATGATTGAATGACTTAAATTGTTGGAGAGAGCTGGCATGTTAGCTTGTGACATAGTTTTCAATTCCGGTTTTATTGAGTCGTATTATTATCCTGCAGCTGTTTATTACCTCAGCGTGGTTCATGACTGAGAGTTTTATGTGTCTGTTCTGAGTAAGACTCTCGAGTCACGTTGTAGTAATACAGTGTTAAAGTGCTGTGTCTGTCTAGGAGGTAATAACCTAAGTGAAATGAAACAGAGAAAGACATGATATTGACAAGGAGTGAGAGTTCAGTGGATATCAGTGCCATTGAAAGAACTGACAGTTTTGTCCCATGCAATAAAACAACCTTTCAAATAACTATGAAATATCTCTATCCAAGGACCGCACACATTGGCAAATATAAACCTCTTCCTTTCAACTGATATTAATTCTCACCCAAAAGTTTTCTTTTATAATGTCATCAAATATTCTGCTGTTTTTGAATTAGAACCAAAGTATGGTTTGTTGGTGTTGGTTTTATGTTGTTAACTTACCCAGCGGCTCTCCACAGGTCTGGCGTGAAGACACTTCCTGACAACGCCAAGGTGCACTACAACTACGGCAACTACCTCAAAGACATCGGCAACTCCCAGGAAGCTGTTCTACACTACAAGAAGTCTCTCCAGTCAGTGGTTTGCCTTTTACTGTTACGAGCTCGTATTTCATAATCTGAAGGTGTTACAAAAATATTGTAAAAACAGTTTTGGGAAAAAGAAAATGTTTTTGAAGTAAATGAGAAACATCCCAAAACTAAATACTTGCAAAGAATGAGTTAATGTTGTTTGGACGTATGACAACAAATAGAGAGTTGGGGACATATGACAATGAATAGAGAGTTGGGGACATATGACAATAAATAGAGAGTTGGGGACGTATGACAATGAATAGAGAGCTGGGGACGTATGACAATGAATAGAGAGCTGGGGACGTATGACAATGAATAGAGAGTTGGAGACGTATGACAATGAATAGAGAGTTGGATACGTATGACAATGAATAGAGAGTTGGAGACGTATGACAATGAATAGAGAGTTGGGGACGTATGACAATGAATAGAGAGTTGGAGACGTATGACAATGAATAGAGAGTTGGGGACGTATGACAATGAATAGAGAGTTGGAGACGTATGACAATGAATAGAGAGTTGGGGACTTATGACAATGAATAGAGAGTTGGGGACATATGACAATGAATAGAGAGTTGGAGACGTATGACAATGAATAGAGAGTTGGGGACGTATGACAATGAATAGAGAGTTGGAGACGTATGACAATGAATAGAGAGTTGGGGACTTATGACAATGAATAGAGAGTTGGGGACATATGACAATGAATAGAGAGTTGGAGACGTATGACAATGAATAGAGAGTTGGGGACATATGACAAAGAATAGAGAGTTGGGGATATATGACAATGAATAGAGAGTTGGGGATATATGACAATGAATAGAGAGTTGGGGACGTATGACAAAGAATAGAGAGTTGGAGACGTATGACAATGAATAGAGAGTTGGAGACGTATGACAATGAATAGAGAGTTGGGGACGTATGACAATGAATAGAGAGTTGGGGATATATGACAATGAATAGAGAGTTGGGGACGTATGACAATGAATAGAGAGTTCGGGACATATGACAATGAATAGAGAGTTGGAGACGTATGACAATGAATAGAGAGTTGGAGACATATGACAATGAATAGAGAGTTGGGGATATATGACAATGAATAGAGAGTTGGGGACGTATGACAATGAATAGAGAGTTGGGGACATATGACAAAGAATAGAGAGTTGGAGACGTATGACAATGAATAGAGAGTTGGATACGTATGACAATGAATAGAGAGTTGGGGACGTATGACAATGAATAGAGAGTTGGAGACGTATGACAATGAATAGAGAGTTGGGGACTTATGACAATGAATAGAGAGTTGGGGACGTATGACAATGAATAGAGAGTTGGGGACATATGACAAAGAATAGAGAGTTGGAGACGTATGACAATGAATAGAGAGTTGGAGACGTATGACAATGAATAGAGAGTTGGGGACGTATGACAATGAATAGAGAGTTGGGGACATATGACAATGAATAGAGAGTTGGGGACATATGACAATGAATAGAGAGTTGGGGACATATGACAATGAATAGAGAGTTGGGGACATATGACAATGATTAGAGAGTTGGGGATGTATTCTGTACCCATGTGCTTAACAGACATGATAATATATGTACGGCCATTATCTAGCATATACCAATCAGCCAGTCCCAAAATGATTCTCCCAGTACACTATTAGGCACACTCATTGAGGCTAGGTGTAATCTCCCAATGTGTGTTTATTTGTAAGAACAAACATCAATGGGTTAAGTCGACTGTGTATGTGTGTGTATATTTGTGTTCACTCCGCTGGTTTCTCCTCCAGACTCTACCCCCACCATGCCAGTGTCTACAACAATTTGGGGACAGTGGTGACCAATCAGACGGAGGCAGAGATCCTGTACAAGATGGCACTCAAACTTTTACCCAATCACAAGGGAGCTTACATCAACCTTGGGCAACTTCTGTAGTGAGTTTGACATCTTTGATCTCAGATAAAACCCCATATCTATGAGAGGGACTCTACATACTCTATAGATTGTTGTGGCTGTACCCACCCTGTTCCCACCCTGTACCCACCCTGTTCACACCCCTGCTTGATCAAACACATGTCTGGGAGTCTCTTACTCTAGGTCACAGGCTGGATGTAAAAGTGGGAATGAGAAAGGCGTTGATGTTATATTACTTGTCTTCTTAGAGGCTGGTCATTTATTGGTGGGTTAGGGAAAAAGTCAGTTTATTTACAGGTTAAATATTGAATCTATGGCAGCGATGCCTCGCGGCAAATAACAATTACAGCAATTTTGTGTTAATGGTAGCATCGTCATCAAAATTAATTTACAGAAGAATGTCATAGTTTGGTGAAATATGGATGTGCAATATCCATATTTTGGGACTTATATTCTAGATTTTATTCAGTCCAGAAATTGTCCACATTAGCATTTAGAGTTAACGTTTTGTACAATGGTTGTACAATGAGGTGATTGTATGGGAGATGATGGTTCTGCTGATGTTCAAATAGCTGGCATTTATTGGTATTAATTCCAGTTCCTGGAGACGTTCAGATTGCTTGTATTATTAATTATATTAATACCAGTTCCTGGTGATGTTCAGATAGCTGGTATTTATTGGTATTAATACCAGTTCATGGTTACATTCAGATTGCTTGTATTATTTATATTAATACCAGTTCCTGGTGATGTTCAGATAGCTTGTATTATTTATATTAATACCAGTTCCTGGTGATGTTCAGTTAGCCAGTATTAATACCAGTTCCTGGTGATGTTCAGAAAGCTTGTATTATTTATATTAATACCAGTTCCTGGTGATGTTCAGATAGCTTGTATTATTTATATTAATACCAGTTCCTGGTGATGTTCAGATAGCTTGTATTATTTATATTAATACCAGTTCCTGGTGATGTTCAGTTAGCCAGTATTAATACCAGTTCCTGGTGATGTTCAGATAGCTTGTATTATTTATATTAATACCAGTTCCTGGTGATGTTCAGTTAGCCAGTATTAATACCAGTTCCTGGTGATGTTCAGATAGCTTGTATTATTTATATTAATACCAGTTCCTGGTGATGTTCAGTTAGCTTGTATTATTTATATTAATACCAGTTCCTGGTGATGTTCAGTTAGCCAGTATTAATACCAGTTCCTGGTGATGTTCAGATAGCTTGTATTATTTATATTAATACCAGTTCCTGGTGATGTTCAGATTGCTTGTATTATTTATATTAATACCAGTTCCTGGTGATGTTCAGATAGCTCACATTGTTGGTAATTATATAAGTTCCTGCTGATGTTCAGTTAGCCAGTATTAATACCTGTTCCTGCAGATGCGATGTAGGTGAGTGTTGTCATGTGGCTATCCCCGAAGGGTGCCTGCTGGCTTCAATTATACCTGAATACTGAACCACAACCAGAGCTTTATGCCAATATTGATCTAGGTGTCCAGGGTGGATACTTACTGCCTTCTGCCTTTGTGAGGAGGGATGACAAATTACTCAACCAATGACAAATCAATGATAATGCAGTGATTCCTGCCTTAATGAGAGCCTGCCGGCGGTGGTCTCCTACATACAGGAAAATGGTCAGATTGAATTAATTAGAGTCCTGCTTTTCAGGAACCAAGGCCATACATTATCTTGTGGTAAACAACTGTCACATACAAGATCACTGAATACATTTGTATTTGTATCAGATGTTAATGATGAGTTTTTGAATGAAATCTGTGAAATAATTATCAAATTTTACAGAAACATGTCAATATTTGTTTGTGGAAGTTGAAATTTGCATGACATTGAGACATTTTTGTGTTAATAAAATACATGCGAGATAAACTGAATGATTTTTTCGGTGTGATTTTAGCAGAAATTCTGCTTAATGATCTGTTTCATACTTTGGTGTTATTTCCATGGTGAACCCAGTTTCTTCTCTGTGGTCAAGTGTGATTACCGAGTCTACTTACTACAAACAAAACGTGTGGCAGTTGCTAGGGGAATGCTCATACAAATATTATATACATATTTGGGGAGGGTCATGAAAAAAATGGACATTTTATAATAAAATACAAAGTGATTTTCCTCTTGTCTGCTCAGGGAGGGTAATGAAAAAAATGGACATTTTATAATAAAATACAAAGTGATTTTCCTCTTGTCTGCTCCGGGAGGGTCAAGAGCTAAATGTACAAAGACAAAGGGAGGGTTGTCTGAAATATGACAAGCATAAGGGGAGGATCATTATTTTCAGTACATTACAATCTCATTAAAATCAGATCTTAGTTCTCGCTACCGCTAAACAAAGATCTGAGGACATCCCCTTATGGGTCACGTCAGAACGACCTTTCATCCAACCAATCAGAGCGTCGCTTACCAGATCATGAAAGTGACAGTCGGAATGTGTTTTCTAATCATGCAACCACGAAATATTTAACATGGGGTATTCCGAACGACAGTTACAGGTTACAGGTGACCCGTAATGGGATGTCCTCAGATCTTTGTTTAGTGATAGCGAAAACTAAGATCTGACTTTAATGAGATTGAGTACATTACTGCATGAAACCCCTCTGAACCACCCCCTGTGATAAGTGACTGGTCCATGGTATGTTACAAACACAGAGTTTGTAGGGTTGCCGTGTCAGGATGAGGCAACCCCTCTGAACCACCCCCTGAGATAAGTGACTGGTCCCTGGCATGTTACAAACACAGAGTTTGTAGGGGTGCCGTGTCAGGATGAGGCAACCCCTCTGAACCACCCCCTGTGATAAGTGACTGGTCCCTGGCATGTTACAAACACAGAGTTTGTAGGGTTGCTGTGTCAGGATGAGGCAACCCCTCTGAACCACCCCCTGTGATAAGTGACTGGTCCCTGGCATGTTACAAACACAGAGTTTGTAGGATTGCCGTGTCAGGATGAGGCAACCCCCCTGAACCACCCCCTGTGATAAGTGACTGGTCCCTGGTATGTTACAAACACAGAGTTTGCAGGGTTGCCGTGTCAGGATGAGGCAACCCCTCTGAACCACCCCCTGTGATATGAACTGGTCCCTGGCATGTTACAAACACAGAGTTTGTAGGGTTGCCGTGTCAGGATGAGGCAACCCCTCTGATCCACCCTCTGTGATAAGTGACTGGTCCCTAGTATGTTACAAACACAGAGTTTATAGGGTTGCCATGTCAGGATGAGGCAACCCCTCTGAACCACCCCCTGTGATAAGTGACTGGTCCCTGGCATGTTACAAACACAGAGTTTGTAGGGTTGCCATGTCCGGATGAGGCAACCCCTCTGAACCACCCCCTGTGATAAGTGACTGGTCCCTGGCATATTACAAACACAGAGTTTGTAGGGTTGCCGTGTCAGGATGAGGCAACCCCTCTGATCCACCCCCTGTGATAAGTGACTGGTCCCTGGCATGTTACAAACACAGAGTTTGTAGGGTTGCCGTGTCAGGACGAGGACCAGGTTGTGTTGGTGCCATCAGCTGGGTTTCACCAAGCCCCTGAAGACAGGGAGTCCTCATGGCAGACTCCACATTTGTCCTCAGTCATTAGCACAATTTAGAGAGTCATGCATTAATTTAACTAATTGTCTGCAAGATATTGATAAAATAAAATAGCAACATGAATATTCTATTGATAAAACAAATTTTGTTACAGTGACTTTCACGCCAGTAGTGCTGACAAAAGAATTGGCATCTAATATGACTCATCAAAAATTTGATTGGAAGTATTTTGGATGAAAAAAGTTGAATATAGAGTTTAATGAAACCTCATTGAATGATAGAGCGACAGAGAGAAGGAAGAGAATATATGGATTTCAACTTCTTTATATTGAGGAACACAACATTTCGGAGTATATGCTTACTGCTTCATTCACCTGATGGAGGAGTAAGCATATACTCCGAAATGTTGTATATTCTCTTCCTCATATGAATCACTTCTAAATGCCTTTCAAAGACCTGGTGAAGAGAGAGCGTTTCAATAACAGCATGCATTGTCAGTGTTCGAAATACCTGCCCGCCCGACCGTCCGAGACGGGTTGATTTCAACTCGGGCTGCCAGATTTTCAAATCCCCCTGCCCGACGGTCGGGTTATATTTCATATGTAAAAATATTCTAAATATTTCTGGATGATAAGCATTATATACATGATGTATTCTAGGATATTAAATACAAATCTAACCTAAAACGTGTTTGCTATTTCTTTTCTTGCATTACTTCATGTTCAATGAATTCGATTTAAAGTTTTAATTAAATTATCCTGAGAAACATATGATTATAGTGGGCAGGCAGGTTTTGGTCAGGGCTGGCAAGTATTTCAGCTAGCCAGTCCTGTTTCATACCCTGGCATTGTATATTGATTGTTTTGATGACTTTCTTAATCTACCAATGTTTGAAACATTATAAAACATTCATTAGCATCAAGTCTTTGAAAGGCATTTAGAAGTGATACACATAAGGAAGAGAATTTATGGATGTCAACTTCTTTATTATGAGGAACATGTTTCAGAGTATATGCTTACTACTTAGTCAGGTGAATGAATGCTATGAGCCAGAGAGCATATATATGTACATGTAAGGACAACAAAGGTAATAACATAACAGAAGGTTATTCATCCTTACACCTGATGAAGGAGTTAGTATATACTCCGAAATGTTGTGTTCCTCATAATAAAGAGGGGCAGTCGGGGAGCATAGTGGTTAAAGTGTTCGCTCGTCACGCCGAAGACCCGGGTTTGAATCCCGACATGGGTACAATGCTCGAAGCCCATTTCTGGTGTTCCCCGCCGTGATATTGCTGGAATATTGCTAAAAGCGGCCTAAAACCATACTCACTCACTCACTCATAATAAAGAATGAGGGACTCAACCCTAAAATGTACGAGAATCTGTACTTAAAGAAAGACAAGTTCTATGGATGAACAACTTCTTTATTACAATTAGTGAGATGTTTCAGTGTAGATCCAAACACCTTTATCAAGCAAGTGATGAAAGAAGGTAATCTGTACTTAACTAAGAAAGTGTTATCCCAAATATAACATTTGTTACATAATAAAGAAGTTGACATCCATAAATTCTCTTCCTTGTTTATTATCATATTTGAACTTCCATTGTGAGTATATTTAGTAGTAAAAGGTCATGAGTGACTATAGTTTGCTGTGTGCCATCTTTCTTAATGCATGTGTAAAATAATATATGGCAAGATCTCCCAGCTACAACACTTAATATGACAAGTCAGTCCCGAGAGAAGTGTATGTTTAAGATTAATAGCTCAGAAGGGTACGCAGTTGAGATTAATGGCTGTCTGGTGGATTACAGAAATATTATCTTTCAAGCATGAAATATCTTTAAATCCCCCTGCTGTCAAGGGCCTTTCACAAGATATGGATGGTGCTCATTATTATCCACTGCCATGAAGTGGAAGGGGGATACAGGAATGGGTGCTGTCTGTCCGTCCGTCACGTTTTGTTTCTTGAACAGAACTAAACAAACATGAGAGATATCTTACCCAAACTTGTCATATAGATAGGTCCAGTGGTGAACTGGTGCCTTTCGATAGTTTGGGATTTAAAAAAAAATAATGCTTGAGTTTCCATGGCAACGACTTTGACTTAGACTGAAAATGGCGGTTGTGCGCCTTTCCGGAGCAGATCTTGAAAAACGTACAATATTTACCTCCCTTGCCCTTGTTAGGCATATACACTATGATATAACTAAGATATTGTTACAAGCGGTGTTAAACTCCGTGTTTGTCATTTGTCCAGCAATGGAGGTCAGAGAGAGGAGGGTGTGCTGATGGTGCAGAAGTCGCTGGACATCGACGCTCACAACATCGAGGCGTTGCTGACGATGGGCAAGATGATGATGGATGAACAGAGATGGACGGAGGCAGAACACTACATCAAGACGGCCATTGTGGAGAAGCCATCATTCGCCAAGGCCTACAACTACTATGGAGTGTTTCTACTGAGGAAAGGTGGGCACTGCTCCTGATGCACAGCCATGTGTTGCTGCATCAGTCTTTACTGAAATGCAACAAGCTTTTTTAGTTTGAGCTTCATACCTTTGCATAAACCATGTTTGCCGTATTAAGCACCCTGTACCAATAAGCACCCATTGATCAAATTTTAGACCAATCTGTAAGTAATCTTTATACTACAAGTACTTTGTGGTACTATACGGTACTATTAAGCTATTAAGAGGATTTACATGGCAGTCCATATTTTCTTGTGCACATTACAGATCTTTTTACAGTAAATACAGCAGTTTAGAAAGGGTATGTAACTACTTGTAAATATTATTGAAAACATTTTAGTTTTGTGGGTGTTGGAAGTCGCTTCTCTAACGGATGATCTCTGACAACAAATTTGATTGTTATATTTTTTATATAATTGCCCCCCTTTGTCAATTTCTAAGTGCCAAGGGTGCTTATTACAGTAAATATGGTATGTTTTAAATACTTCTTAAGCTAAATATTTCTTTGATATCTCCCTTATATAGAGCTGATGTTTGATCTGTTAGGAGAAATGTTTGCCGGATTAGTGTAAAAATATTATCCTTTAGAGCAAGACATAAACCTGAACTTGCAGATATAGTCATCCATGGATGTATAATGATGCATGATGGATATTATAGCCTGTTGTAGACTAGTCATGATCTCAGCTTAATAATATTGGTGAATCGTTTGTTCAAATGGCCATAGACCAATAGTATACAGTGCAATTCAGTGGTCGAGGTTACTGTACATGATTATAAATTTCATTTTGTTTTGTTTATCATTGCGTGATGGACATATTGCGTAATATACAGGGTTTATCCGTAGTGTTACGTGTCGACTTCAAAACGAAGTTTTGAAGTTAATCCAGAAAACTATGGATAAAAAAATTCAGTGAAAAGCCAACCGTGTTCTAGGGCTGGGACGTGTCCAAATTTACTACCTGGGTACCCAACCCCCCCTTTACCTGACCCTACCCGAGTACCCACTGTAGGTCTCAGGAGATGTCTCAAAATGTCGATTGGGAACATTTTTAGCATAGCCCTGGCAAAACGTATTTAGATACATGTATTAAACAATCTGGTCATGTATACACTGAAGCTGAATTAAGTCATATCTTTATTCAGCCATATGAAAAATCAGAAGGAATTGGTGCAGTCAGAAAGAAAAGCGAACATTAATGACTTGTAGTGTAACCATGGAGTTCCAGATAATTTTGGTCATTAAACAATATATCACGTGACTAACCACAGGTCCGGGTAGTCCTGTTGGTACCCGGGTCCTACTCAGCACCCACCCGCCCCGGGTACCCGAGTTACCCGTCCCAGCCCAACCGTGTTACCGTTGGTTTGATACCTCTAACTGACCAATCAGTGTTGTTGTACAGGCCAGGTGAAGGATGCCGTGTCGTACTACCAGCAGGCCTACAAGCTGGACGAGCTGGACACCATCGCTATGTCCAATGCAGCGGACGGCCTTCGACAACTCGGGAGACTGGACGAAGCAGAGCAGCTCCTGAGGCAGTGAGTCTTATCATCCTCTTACTTTATGGTCCTGTTTTGGGAGATGGTTTTTTAGCTGCTTTGAGCAAAATTCCAGTAATATGTGGCCAGGTGACACCAGAAAGAGGCTTCGCACACTGTACATGTTTGGGAATTGATCCTGGGTCTTCGACATGATGAGCAGACGCTTCAACCACCAAGCTATATCACTGCACCTCTTAATATTTCAAATTGGATCAGATTCTATTAATTTGTTTATATTAATTCAGTGCTCCAGATAATGTTTCAACAATATACGTACAGTACTGGTCATGACCAGGACTAACAAGTACGAGACATGTTTTCCTCAAACCTATAAGTACCATACTGCTCGTTTTGTAGAATTGTTTGTTTGTTTTTTTGTTTGTTTGTTGTTTAATGCAGCACTCAGCAATATTCTAGCTATATGACGGCGGCCTGTAAAATAATCGAGTCTGGACCAGACAATCTAGTGATTGATATCATGAGCATCGATCCACGCAATTGTGATCGATGACCTGCATCAACCAAGTCAGCGAGTCTGACCACCCGATCCCGTTAGTCGCATTTTATGACAAGCATAGTCGCCTTTTATGGCAAGCATGGGTTGCTGAAGACCTATTTTACCCCGGATCTTCACGGTTCTGTAGAATTGATGAGAACTGGTATGATATTGCACCACCATCATTTGAAGACCTTAAGTTGTACATTCGGATTTTGGTCACTAACATAAACATAACCCAGATGAGAGAATTTGAGTGCAATTTTATTAGCCAATGACAATACAAGATTGGGAGGAAATCATTTTGCTGCTGACATGAAATGACATAATCCCATTTAAGCAGAAGGATATCCCCGATACAGTAAACAGAAGTTTAACAGTGTTTTGAAGAAAAGTTTTGAGAATATATACACAAGGTACAATAACAATTAATCTGAGCATATAATATTGTTTACCTGCATATTTGATATGGTTGTAATTTTCAAACCATCTATATTTGACTAGTTTTCATCACTACATCACTCCAATGCGGCATTTATCTGGTGCACTGAGTGAGTCGTGTCAGCTTTAATGTGAGAATATCAAAGAATGTTTCTGTTAGAGTCACAGAAATAATCACAGAACAAGTTGGCATGTACTCAATGTCTCTATATATTTGTCCAGCTCCAATTCCATCAAGCCGGACGTGAAGACCCTGGACCAGTTGGCAATGCTGTACTTCCGCTCCGGGCAAATGTCAAAGGCCCAACACGTGTACGAGGAGCTGATGGCCCAGTCGCCCAACGATACAGACATCATCATACACTATGTGAGTACACGTGATATAAACACAGACATCAGACACTATGTGAGTACACATGTAATAAACACAGACATCAGATACTACGTGAGTACACGTGTAATAAACACAGACATCAGACACTATGTGAGTACGGGTGAGATAAACACAGACATCATACACTACATGAGTGCACGTGAGATAAACACAGACATCATACACTACATGAGTACAAGTGATATAAACACAGACATCAGACACTACGTGAGTACACGTGTAATAAACACAGACATCAGACACTATGTGAGTACACGTGAGATAAACACAGACATCATACACTACATGAGTGCACTTGAGATAAACACAGACATCAGACACTACATGAAGTAAACACAGACATCATACACTACACGAGTACACGTGAGATAAACACAGACATCATACACTACATGAAATAAACACAGACATCATACACTACACGAGTACACATGAGATAAACACATACATCATACACTACCTTGTAGTACACGTGAGATAAACACAGACATCATACACTACCTTGTAGTACACGTGAGATAAACACAGACATCAGACACTACGCAAGTACACTTGAGATAAACACAGACATCATACACTACATGAAATAAACACAGACATCATACACTACACGAGTACACATGAGATAAACACAGACATCATACACTACATGAAATAAACACAGACATCATACACTACATGAGAACACGTGAGATAAACACAGACATCATACACTACACGAGTACACGTGAGATAAACACAGACATCATACACTACCTTGTAGTACACGTGAGATAAACACGGACATCATACACTACCTTGTAGTACACGTGAGATAAACACAGACATCAGACACTACGCAAGTACACGTGAGATAAACACAGACATCAGACACTACGCAAGTACACTTGAGATAAACACGGACGTCATACACTACATGAGTACACGTGAGATAAACACAGACATCATACACTACGCAACTACACTTGAGATAAACACAGACATCATACACTACACGAGTACACGTGAGATAAACACAGACATCATACACTACACGAGTACACGTGAGATAAACACAGACATCATACACTACATGAAATAAACACAGACATCATACACTACACGAGTACACATGAGATAAACACAGACATCATACACTACATGAAATAAACACAGACATCATACACTACACGAGTACACATGAGATAAACACAGACATCAGACACTACATGAAGTAAACACAGACATCATACACTACACGAGTACACGTGAGATAAACACAGACATCATACACTACATGAAATAAACACAGACATCATACACTACACGAGTACACATGAGATAAACACAGACATCATACACTACATGAAGTAAACACAGACATCATACACTACACGAGTACACATGAGATAAACACAGACATCATACACTACATGAAATAAACACAGACATCATACACTACATGAGTACACATGAGATAAACACAGACATCATACACTACGCAAGTACACGTGAGATAAACACAGACATCATACACTACGTGAGTACATGAGAGATCAGCACATACATAATCATACACTACGTGAGTACATGAGAGATCAGCACATACATAATCATACACTACGTGGTACATGAGAGATCAGCACATACATTATCATACACTACGTGGTACATGAGAGATCAGCACATACATTATCATACACTACGTGGTACATGTGAGATAAACACATACATTATCATACACTACGTGGTACATGAGAAATCAGCACATACATTATCATACACTACGTGGTACATGAGAAATCAGCACATACATTATCATACACTACGTGGTACATGAGAGATCAGCACATACATTATCATACAATACGTGAGTACATGTGAGATAAACACATACATTATCATACACTACGTGGTACATGAGAGATCAGCACCTACATTATCCTACACTACGTGGTACATGAGAGATCAGCACATACATTATCATACACTACGTGGTACATGAGAGATCAGCACATACATTATCATACACTACGTGGTACATGAGAAATCAGCACATACATTATCATACACTATGTGGTACATGAGAAATCAGCACCTACATTATCATACACTACGTGGTACATGAGAGATCAGCACCTACATTATCATACAATACGTGAGTACATGTGAGATAAACACATACATTATCATACACTACGTGGTACATGAGAAATCAGCACATACATTATCATACACTACGTGGTACATGAGAAATCAGCACCTACATTATCATACACTACGTGGTACATGAGAAATCAGCACATACATTATCATACAATACGTGAGTACATGTGAGATAAACACATACATTATCATACACTACGTGGTACATGAGAGATCAGCACATACATTATCATACACTACGTGGTACATGAGAGATCAGCACATACATTATCATACACTACGTGAGTACATGTGAGATAAACACATACATTATCATACACTACGTGAGTACATGAGAGATCAGCACATACATTATCCTACACTACGTGGTACATGAGAGATCAGCACATACATTATCATACACTATGTGAGTACATGTGAGATAAACACATACATTATCATACACTACGTGGTACATGAGAGATCAGCACATACATTATCATACACTACGTGGTACATGAGAGATCAGCACATACATTATCATACACTACGTGGTACATGAGAGATCAGCACATACATTATCATACACTACGTGAGTACATGAGAGATCAGCACATACATTATCATACACTACGTGGTACATGAGAGATCAGCACATACATTATCATACACTACGTGGTACATGTGAGATCAGCACATACATTATCATACACTACGTGAGTACATGAGAGATCAGCACATACATTATCCTACACTACGTGGTACATGAGAGATAAACACATACATTATCACACACTACGTGGTACATGAGAGATCAACACATACATTATCATACACTACGTGGTACATGAGAGATCAGCACATACATTATCCTACACTACGTGGTACATGAGAGATCAGCACCTACATTATCATACACTACGTGGTACATGAGAAATCAGCACATACATTATCATACACTACGTGGTACATGAGAGATCAGCACCTACATTATCATACACTACGTGGTACATGAGAGATCAGCACATACATTATCATACACTATGTGAGTACATGTGAGATAAACACATACATTATCATACACTACGTGAGTACATGAGAGATCAGCACATACATTATCATACACTACGTGGTACATGAGAGATCAGCACATACATTATCATACACTACGTGGTACATGAGAGATCAGCACATACATTATCATACACTACGTGAGTACATGAGAGATCAGCACATACATTATCATACACTACGTGGTACATGAGAGATCAGCACATACATTATCATACACTACGTGGTACATGAGAGATGAGCACATACATTATCATACACTACGTGGTACATGAGAGATCAGCACATACATTATCATACACTATGTGGTACATGAGGGATCAGCACATACATTATCATACACTACGTGGTACATGAGAAATCAGCACATACATTATCATACACTACGAGAGTACACATGATAATAAACACAGACATCATACACTACATGAAATAAACACAGACATCATATCCTGCACAAGTACTCATGAGATAAACACAGACATCATACACTACATAAAATAAACACAGACATCATCATACACTACGTGAGTACACATGATAATAAACACAGACATACACTACGAGAGTACACATGAGATAAACACAGACATGATACACTACGCGAGGACACAGGGCGATAAACAGAGGCATCATACACTACACGAGTACACATGAGATAAACACAGACATGATACACTACACGAGGACACAGGGCGATAAACACAGACATCATACACTACACGAGTACACATGAGATAAACACAGACATCATACACTACATGAAATAAACACAGACATCATACACTACATGAGTACACATGGGATAAACACAGACATCATACACTACATGAAATAAACACAGACATCATACACTACACGAGTACACATGAGATAAACACAGACATCATACACTACCTTGTAGTACACGTGAGATAAACACAGACATCATACACTACCTTGTAGTACACGTGAGATAAACACAGACATCATACACTACATGAAATAAACACCGACATCATACACTACACGAGTAGACATGAAATAAACACAGACATCATACACTACCTTGTAGTACACGTGAGATAAACACAGACATCATACACTACATGAGTACACGTGAGATAAACACAGACATCATACACTACGCAAGTACACTTGAGATAAACACAGACATCATACACTACACGAGTACACGTGAGATAAACACAGACATCATACACTACACGAGTACACGTGAGATAAACACAGACATCATACACTACATGAAAAAAACACAGACATCATACACTACACGAGTACACATGAGATAAACACAGACATCATACACTACATGAGAACACGTGAGATAAACACAGACATCATACACTACGCAAGTACACTTGAGATAAACACAGACATCATACACTACACGAGTACACATGAGATAAACACAGACATCATACACTACACGAGTACACGTGAGATAAACACAGACATCATACACTACATGAAATAAACACAGACATCATACACTACACGAGTACACATGAGATAAACACAGACATCATACACTACATGAAATAAACACAGACATCATACACTACATGAGTACACGTGAGATAAACACAGACGTCATACACTACGCAAGTACACGTGAGATAAACACAGACATCATACACTACGTGAGTACATGAGAGATCAGCACATACATAATCGTACACTACGTGAGTACATGAGAGATCAGCACATACATTATCATACACTACGTGAGTACATGAGAGATCAGCACATACATTATCATACACTACGTGGTACATGAGAGATCAGCACATACATTATCATACACTACGTGAGTACATGTGAGATAAACACATACATTATCATACACTACGTGGTACATGAGAGATCAGCACATACATTATCATACACTACGTGGTACGTGAGAGATCAGCACATACATTATCATACACTACGTGAGTACATGAGAGATCAGCACATACATTATCATACACTACGTGGTACATGAGAGATCAGCACATACATTATCATACACTACGTGAGTACATGTGAGATAAACACATACATTATCATACACTACGTGGTACATGAGAGATCAGCACATACATTATCATACACTATGTGGTACATGAGAGATCAGCACATACATTATCATACACTACGTGAGTACATGTGAGATAAACACATACATTATCATACACTACATGAGTATAAGAGTTCAGCACATACATTATCATACACTACATGAGTATAAGAGATCAGCACATACATTATCATACACTACGTGGTACATGAGAGATCAGCACATACATTATCATACACTACGTGGTACATGAGAGATCAGCACATACATTATCATACACTACGTGGTACATGAGAGATCAGCACATACATTATCATACACTACGTGGTACATGAGAGATCAGCACATACATTATCATACACTACGTGGTACATGAGAGATCAGCACATACATTATCATACACTACGTGGTACATGAGAGATCAGCACCTACATTATCATACACTACGTGGTACATGAGAGATCAGCACATACATTATCATACACTACGTGGTACATGAGAGATCAGCACATACATTATCATACACTACGTGGTACATGAGAGATCAGCACCTACATTATCATACACTACGTGGTACATGAGAGATCAGCACATACATTATCATACACTACGTGGTACATGAGAGATCAGCACATACATAATCATACACTACGTGGTACATGAGAGATAAACACATACATTATCATACACTTCATGAGTATAAGAGTTCAGCACATACATTATCATACACTACGTGGTACATGAGAGATCAGCACATACATTATCATACACTACGTGAGTACATGTGAGATAAACACATACATTATCATACACTACGTGGTACATGAGAGATCAGCACATACATTATCATACACTATGTGAGTACATGTGAGATAAACACATACATTATCATACACTACGTGGTACATGAGAGATCAGCACATACATTATCATACACTACGTGGTACATGAGAGATCAGCACCTACATTATCCTACACTACGTGGTACATGTGAGATCAGCACATACATTATCATACACTACGTGGTACATGAGAGATCAGCACCTACATTATCCTACACTACGTGGTACATGTGAGATCAGCACATACATTATCATACACTACGTGGTACATGAGAGATCAGCACATACATTATCATACACTATGTGAGTACATGTGAGATAAACACATACATTATCATACACTACGTGGTACATGAGAGATCAGCACATACATTATCATACACTACGTGGTACATGAGAGATCAGCACATACATTATCATACACTACGTGGTACATGAGAGATCAGCACATACATTATCATACACTACGTGGTACATGAGAGATCAGCACATACATTATCATACACTACGTGGTACATGAGAGATCAGCACATACATTATCATACACTACGTGGTACATGAGAGATCAGCACATACATTATCATACACTACGTGGTACATGAGAGATCAGCACATACATTATCATACACTACGTGGTACATGAGAGATCAGCACCTACATTATCATACACTACGTGGTACATGAGAGATCAGCACATACATTATCATACACTACGTGGTACATGAGAGATCAGCACATACATAATCATACACTACGTGGTACATGAGAGATAAACACATACATTATCATACACTTCATGAGTATAAGAGTTCAGCACATACATTATCATACACTACGTGGTACATGAGAGATCAGCACATACATTATCATACACTACGTGAGTACATGTGAGATAAACACATACATTATCATACACTACGTGGTACATGAGAGATCAGCACATACATTATCATACACTATGTGAGTACATGTGAGATAAACACATACATTATCATACACTACGTGGTACATGAGAGATCAGCACATACATTATCATACACTACGTGGTACATGAGAGATCAGCACCTACATTATCCTACACTACGTGGTACATGTGAGATCAGCACATACATTATCATACACTACGTGGTACATGAGAGATCAGCACCTACATTATCCTACACTACGTGGTACATGTGAGATCAGCACATACATTATCATACACTACGTGGTACATGAGAGATCAGCACATACATTATCACAAACTACGTGGTACATGAGAGATCAGCACATACATTATCATACACTACATGAGTACATGTGAGATAAACACATACATTATCATACACTACGTGGTACATGAGAGATCAGCACCTACATTATCCTACACTACGTGGTACATGTGAGATCAGCACATACATTATCATACACTACGTGGTACATGAGAGATCAGCACATACATTATCACACACTACGTGGTACATGAGAGATCAGCAGATACATTATCATACACTACGTGAGTACATGTGAGATAAACACATACATTATCATACACTACGTGGTACATGAGAGATCAGCACATACATTATCATACACTATGTGAGTACATGTGAGATAAACACATACATTATCATACACTACGTGGTACATGAGAGATCAGCACATACATTATCATACACTACATGGTACATGAGAGATCAGCACCTACATTATCCTACACTACGTGGTACATGAGAGATCCGCACATACATTATCACACACTACGTGGTACATGAGAGATCAGCACATACATTATCACACACTACGTGGTACATGAGAGATCAGCACATACATTATCATACACTACGTGGTACATGAGAGATCAGCACATACATTATCATACACTACGTGGTACATGTGAGATCAGCACATACATTATCCTACACTACGTGGTACATGAGAGATAAACACATACATTATCACACACTACGTGGTACATGAGAGATCAGCACATACATTATCACACACTACGTGGTACATGAGAGATCAGCACATACATTATCATACACTACGTGGTACATGTGAGATAAACACATACATTATCATACACTACGTGGTACATGAGAGATCAGCACATACATTATCATACACTACGTGGTACATGAGAGATCAGCACCTACATTATCATACACTACGTGGTACATGAGAGATCAGCACCTACATTATCCTACACTACGTGGTACATGACAGATCAGCACATACATTATCATACACTACGTGGCACATGTGAAGACATATAGTTCGGCACAATGAATGCCTGTGACCTCCTCAAGCCTGTATGCTGTGTCTTGTTTCTTCAGGCAAATGTGCTGATGCGACAGAATGAGCTGAACAAGGCAGAACTGTATGCGATGCGAGTGCTATCCCATCATCCCTCACACTTGGAGGCACTTCGAGCAGCAGCAAACATAGCAGGGATCAAAAGACGATACAAAGAGGTACATGTCAGAATCTACATTATCTTCTCGCCGCCTCTTTCAGCCCGTATTGTTAATAAGCATCTCGAGTCAAGATGAAACTTATTCAGTGATAGAACATTTCCTGTTGATTCACATAGGTTACAAGGACAGAAACTGACTTTTATAGTCAGTTAACTCACTTGCCTTGGGAAGATGGTTACCTATGTGAGGTGGTGGCCCAAGCTGTTCTTTCCTTGTGTCTAACTGTCTCTGTTACCTATGTGAGGTGGTGGCCCAAGCTGCTCTTTCCTTGTGTCTAACTGTCTCTGTTACCATTGTGAGGTGGTGGCCCAAGCTGCTCTTTCCTTGTGTCTAACTGTCTCTGTAACCTATGTGAGGCAGTGGCCCAAGCTGCTCTTTCCTTGTGTCTAACTGTCTCTGTTACCATTGTGAGGTGGTGGCCCAAGCTGCTCTTCCCTTGTGTCTAACTGTCCCTGTTACCTACGTGAGGTGGTGGCCCAAGCTGCTCTTCCCTTGTGTCTAACTGTCCCTGTTACCTACGTGAGGTGGTGGCCCAAACCATTCTTCCCTTGTGTCTAACTGTCCCTGTTACCTACGTGAGGTGGTGGCCCAAACCATTCTTCCCTTGTGTCTAACTATCCCTGTTACCTACGTGAGGCGGTGGCCCAAGCTGCTCTTCCTTTGTGTCTAACTGTCCCTGTTACCTACGTGAGGCTGTGGCCCAAGCTGCTCTTCCCTTGTGTCTAACTGTCCCTGTTACCTACGTGAGGCTGTGGCCCAAGCTGCTCTTCCCTTGTGTCTAACTGTCCCTGTAACCTATGTGAGGCGGTGGCCCAAGCTGCTCTTCCTTTGTGTCTAACTATCCCTGTTACCTACGTGAGGCGGTGGCCCAAGCTGCTCTTCCTTTGTGTCTAACTGTCCCTGTTACCTACGTGAGGCTGTGGCCCAAGCTGCTCTTCCCTTGTGTCTAACTGTCCCTGTTACCTACGTGAGGCTGTGGCCCAAGCTGCTCTTCCCTTGTGTCTAACTGTCCCTGTAACCTATGTGAGGCGGTGGCCCAAGCTGCTCTTCCCTTGTGTCTAACTGTCCCTGTTACCTACGTGAGGCTGTGGCCCAAGCTGCTCTTCCTTTGTGTCTAACTGTCCCTGTTACCTACGTGAGGCTGTGGCCCAAGCTGCTCTTCCTTTGTGTCTAACTGTCAGTGCTTTCTCTCCAGGCTGTATATTACCTACGTGAGGCTGTGGCCCAAGCTGCTCTTCCCTTGAGTCTAACTGTCCCTGTTACCTACGTGAGGCTGTGGCCCAAGCTGCTCTTCCCTTGTGTCTAACTGTCCCTGTTACCTACGTGAGGTGGTGGCCCAAGCTGCTCTTCCTTTGTGTCTAACTGTCAGTGCTTTCTCTCCAGGCTGTATATTACCTACGTGAGGCGGTGGCCCAAGCTGCTCTTCCCTTGTGTCTAACTGTCAGTGCTTTCTCTCCAGGCTGTATATTACCTACGTGAGGCGGTGGCCCAAGCTGCTCTTCCTTTGTGTCTAACTGTCAGTGCTTTCTCTCCAGGCTGTATATTACCTACGTGAGGTGGTGGCCCAAGCTGCTCTTCCCTTGTGTCTAACTGTCAGTGCTTTCTCTCCAGGCTGTATATTACCTACGTGAGGTGGTGGCCCAAGCTGCTCTTCCCTTGTGTCTAACTGTCAGTGCTTTCTCTCCAGGCTGTATATTACCTACGTGAGGCGGTGGCCCAAGCTGCTCTTCCCTTGTGTCTAACTGTCAGTGCTTTCTCTCCAGGCTGTATATTACCTACGTGAGGCGGTGGCCCAAGCTGCTCTTCCCTTGTGTCTAACTGTCAGTGCTTTCTCTCCAGGCTGTATATTACCTACGTGAGGCGGTGGCCCAAGCTGCTCTTCCTTTGTGTCTAACTGTCAGTGCTTTCTCTCCAGGCTGTATATTACCTACGTGAGGCGGTGGCCCAAGCTGCTCTTCCCTTGTGTCTAACTGTCAGTGCTTTCTCTCCAGGCTGTATATTACCTACGTGAGGCGGTGGCCCAAGCTGCTCTTCCCTTGTGTCTAACTGTCAGTGCTTTCTCTCCAGGCTGTATATTACCTACGTGAGGCGGTGGCCCAAGCTGCTCTTCCCTTGTGTCTAACTGTCAGTGCTTTCTCTCCAGGCTGTATATTACCTACGTGAGGCGGTGGCCCAAGCTGCTCTTCCCTTGTGTCTAACTGTCAGTGCTTTCTCTCCAGGCTGTATATTACCTACGTGAGGCGGTGGCCCAAGCTGCTCTTCCCTTGTGTCTAACTGTCAGTGCTTTCTCTCCAGGCTGTATATTACCTACGTGAGGCGGTGGCCCAAGCTGCTCTTCCCTTGTGTCTAACTGTCAGTGCTTTCTCTCCAGGCTGTATATTACCTACGTGAGGCGGTGGCCCAAGCTGCTCTTCCCTTGTGTCTAACTGTCAGTGCTTTCTCTCCAGGCTGTATATTACCTACGTGAGGCGGTGGCTCAAGCTGCTCTTCCCTTGTGTCTAACTGTCAGTGCTTTCTCTCCAGGCTGTATATTACCTACGTGAGGCGGTGGCCCAAGCTGCTCTTCCCTTGTGTCTAACTGTCAGTGCTTTCTCTCCAGGCTGTATATTACCTACGTGAGGCGGTGGCCCAAGCTGCTCTTCTCCAGAAGGACAATGTCTATCGAGCAATGTTGAGCTATGACCTTGGCAACATGTACAAAGATCTGAAGGAGATGGAACTAGCGGCACAGGTTAGCAACATGACTTTTCTTCAATTAGAATGAACCCCATTTGTGTTGCGCTCACCTTATTCTCACATATTTCTGCTGAATTGTTGGCATTTTCATTCCGCAAGTGTAATCCTGTTTTCAGTATTATGAGGAAACCCTGCAGCTTGATGCCTCCAAGTCCAAGGCTCACCTGAATCTCGGTGCTATCTATCACCTGAAGGTAGGTACACAGTACTAGTGTTGGTCTCAGCGCTGAGTTTCTCTTTGCTTCTTTGAAAACGTGTGAAATGTTAGAATGGTGTGGTTATTAGGGTTGAAACGATACATCGGTGCACCGTAAGTTTTCATTCAAAGATACAATACACAAAACGTTTTTCTCTGTTTCGATACAAGACGATTCACTTGCTGAAATAATTACTACTCGTGTCCACGGCGATATTTGCTAATATATTGGCTGGTGAACAATCCCAATTAGCACCCCTTCCGATCTATCAATGTACACAAGACTTTTTTATTCATGTATAGTGCGCACTCATGTGTTATATGCACCCTTAATTACGGGCAGTTAAATTCTGGAAATATATATCTGTGGTGTATGATACGCACAGACTTTTCTTTTGTATCATTTCAGGCTGTCAGCATAAACCATGACATTTACGATCTTTCAACTCTGTTTTTTTTCACCAAAATTATATTCTAATTTTGAGAGCGCCCTGGGTGCTTATAATGTTGTATATGGTATTCACTGTCCAGTTTCATGAAACTGCAAGTTGAGCTCAATCAAACTCAAGTGTCTTGTCTGTTTCCCAGGGCCAGTTTGCCAATGCCCGCCGCCACTATGAAGCTGTTCTGAAGCTGGACCCTGACGACCAATTGGTGAAACAGAATCTCGCGAAACTCAGGCGACTGGAGAAACAACAAGCTGACGTCAACCACACCAAGCGCTGACAGGAATGATGCAGTAGATGACGACTGAAACATATGAATGTCGGATGGTCTTCCACATCATCTATATCGTCTTGAACATCCTCCACAGCATCAGTATAGGCCCAATAAGGCAGCAGGTGCTTGTTGTGCAGGGAACCAGGTGTTCCTCCACCCCACTGGGGCTGGGGAGACTTTACATTACAAGGCTCTGGATTACCTCCCCTTGAAGATCTGGCGCGCCTGGCATCAGAGCAGGAGACTGGTCTGGTGTCTCTTTGAAGACCATAAGGCCTTCAGGAACTGACACTATTGAGCACCGGGTTACTTTATATTTTAACAATACAATTCAAACACTGTGCATCGACTCCAGCATCTTATATAATGTAGAGAAGAACGTTGAGCCGTGATCCAGTTCTTCCGGTGACCACCATCTGCCACATGCTAACCTCTCCATCTGCACCGTGTACATGCCATGTGCATATGCTAATTATTGATGGAAAGTCTTCATCGAATGTGACAATAATTATGTGATTTTCTGTTTATACATGTATAAGCATGTGCAACATGATTTAAGTCGCCTCAAGAGCAGTATTATAGTGCTACAATTGTACATAAGTGTATAAAAATTAAAGGACAAAATATGAATACTTTTGTTTCCCGTAGCCAGCCCATTTCACCTACATTCTTGACAGTTTTATTAACTAGTCAGAAAAAATTGTCAAAACTTATATTGAAGAGACATTGTAATAATATCTCAAAATGGCATGTTACCTAAAACAGAAGGATTATTTTGGGGGGGTTCGAATCCCAGTTCGCCCCGAGTATGTTTCTAGGTTTGTCAGCACCATACCCGTGCTCGTGGGTTTCACCGAAGTGGTAAACGTCTGAGATCTGCATCACTTCAGGCTTCCTCCCACATTAAGCTGACACGCCGTGATATACCGGTAACTGGAATTCTGTAAAAGAGGCATATAACCCAACCCACTCACTCACTCACTCATGTACATAGCAGTCTTGTAGTAGATATGTGTATAAATATTGCCAAAGGATATTCAGTTCACTAAGATCCTACTTCAACAGGAAAATCTCTCCGATGTCTTCAATATTCCAAGTCTTCTCAATTGTTTATGTTTGTACTGTTGATAGTTCAGAAGGATTTACATCATTCACACACATGCCAACTTACTTTCTGATTGTGTTAGCCATATACTAGTACAAATTTGCTTGCCAATTTTTATGAAAAAACTTATCTTATGGAAAGATATTACTGAAGTATAAATGTTACATTAATCTCCTTTGGACTCTCTTGTCAATGGTTGTTAGAATGATAAGAGTATTATCACATACTGCATAGTGGTGTTATGGTATAAGGAAGAGACAGATATGTATGGCTGACTTCCTCACAGTGACCCGGTAATACTCAACTAGATATGAAGTGTTCACTGTGTTCAGTGGAAGCCAAACTAAAATACCTATTCTATCATCCTTTTGACTTTGTTCCTATTTATTTTTTAGACTGTGATGAATTTCATTTTAAGTTTTGATCAGTTTAGAAATTAGGAGATGCCTGTTATATCCCACTGCTTTGTAAGGCCACACGTTTTTAATTTTATGTTTCACGGATTTATTCCAGCTTTTCCACACAATGTTGGTCGAAATAAAAATAAAAATAAATTCATTTATTTATTTATCTGCTGTGGAGTTAAAACTGCAGCTGGCTTCTTGAATCACTGATAGTGATGGGGACATGGAATTCATATATAACATTATATATTTTATAAGAGGGTCTATATTACTAGCGGGAGACGTAATAAAAATAAATATTTTTTTGTTTCATTTATTTCTTTTCCAGCTGCTTTTCAGTTGGGGTGGTGGGCCCGTGAAATGAAAAATAAAAAATGTGTGGCTTAAGTTGTTAGATGGGTTTATGTGATAAAGACAGGGTTTGGAATATCTTGAATTATTTTTTCATGTACTGTAGTAAAATGTTGCAGTTATTGTAAATATTTAAGGCCTATGTTGAACTACAGCCTGATGGTCTTTGTACTTTAATGGAACGTTCATGTTTTTTTCTGCCTTGTTAAACCTCTTTAATATGCAAAGTTCCTCAATGAATAATGAGAAATTGATTGTACTTTGTGCATGTTGTGTGACAAAGTGTCATGATTTTATTGCTTTCAGACAAAAATGTCAAAGTGCTGTATTTTGTGCATATCATGTGACGCTGGGGCCAGATAATTGGTAGGAAAATATTTGTGTATGCACGTGACAACTGCCTATCAAAATGAATCATTTATTAATTATTTTCTTTAACTGTTGCTCAATCTAAGTATTCAAACTTCTACACACACATGGATAAAACCAGAATGTTGATGTTTTGATTGTGTTACACGATCATGGGCATGGGTGGTCCAGTTGTCTGAGGAACCTCCCCAATTCTCTTAATCCCTTAGGGGGCATGGTTGGTCCAGTTGTCTGAGGAACCTCCCCAATTCTCTGAATCCCTTGGGGGCATGGGTGGTCCAGTCGTCTTAGCTGCCGCGATTTGCTGTGCAGAGTTGCATTCTTTGGGCACGCCAGAAACCTATGATTGTGGGTTCGAATCCCAGTTCGCCCCGATTATGTTTCTAGGTTTGTCAGCACCATACCCGTGCTCATGGGTTTCACCGAAATGGTAAACGTCTGAGACCTGCATCACTTTGGGCTTTGTTCCCACATTAAGCTGACACGCCGTGATATAACTGGAATACTGTTAAATACTGTTAAAAACGGTGTTAAACCCAACTCGCTCACTCACTCACTCTGAATCCCTAAGGCATGTCAGAAACCTTTGGTTGTGGGTTCAATTCCCAGATTGATGCTGATTATATTTCTGGTCTAAATGGTTTTGCCAGAGCAGTAAACATCTAAGTCCTGCATATCACTTCGCGGTTCTCCCCACACCAAGCCGACACACCGTGATATAACTGAAATACTGTTGGAAGCAGCATTAAACTGAACTCACTCACTCACTCACAATGATGCACTCCCATTTCATTGTCCAGGATTACAACAGGAGTTAAATTGTGCAATCAAAGTAGTCATGCAATATCTATATAATTTTTATATTGCTTTTTTGTAGAATAACTTTTTTGAAATTTTCATAGCTATTCATTGTCTTAATATGTCTGAAAACATCCATATTGTTATTGTTTATTTACATTGATCCATTTATTGTTAAGCATAATAATGATCATCATGTATCATATCTGTAAATTTGTTTTATTGTCTTTAACAAAAGTACAACCTGAGAATTGAGAAAGTTAGAGATTGATATGAAGGCAATGTATAATGGATTTAGAAGTGGAGTTGGAAGTAGTTTATTACTGGCCATGAGCACATGGTCTTCAAGAAAGCAGACATATGGGGTAGGAACATTTTGTACTCTCCACGAACCTAAGAGTTACATAGGAATGAGGCTGCTGGGAGTTATCTCCCCTAGATACATATGAAATCAGAAGGTCAGACAGAGAAGATATTGCTATGTTGGATGAATGTTGGCATTCTGGGCAGAAAAGCTCCCTAGCATTCAAACGTTTCATTATAGCCGGCAAGTTTCCACTGTCTGGTTGAACTGACTGCCAAATATGAATAACACTTGAAAGTTTCCACTGTCGGGTTGAACTGACTGCCAAATATTAATATTACTTGAAAGGGCAGATCACAGGCCTACTCTGACCTGTCACTTGCTGATAGGGGCAGTGGGGTAGGCTAGTCAGAAAGCATTCAAATCCCCACATGGGTTCAATGTATGAAGCCAATTTCTGGTGCCTGCCAGCAGCCTTGATATTGCTGGAATATTGCTAAAAGCTGCATAAAAAAAACATACTCACTCACTCACAGTCTGAATTTAAGTCTTTTAAGTCTTTGTACCCTGGAAGGGTGAATAGGTGCTCATACTATCGACCACTGCTCCAACTGAATTTCATTCCATTTTTCATAATATTGATGTACATTTGCCGACTTTGATTTAAAATTTGTTTCACTCATTCAAGAATATTGCAATTCAGTGTAGAGAGACAATCGTGGCTTCATGGCATAATATAATGTTTGAATTAAGTCACAGACAATGTAGGTTTGTCTGTTGTAAATAAACATGTATTGTGATTTAAGATATTCATACTTTAGTCACATATTTTTCAGTTATATTTTTTTATATCATAGGTAATCCCATATATCCTGTTCTATGCATTCCTTTGTCCTTAGTGTATCACCCATCCTACAGCATTACATGATAGAGGATGTCTGTGACAAATGTGATTTACTGGTCAGTATTGGTAGTTTTCCATACCATTGTTTACATATTGTTGATATAGCCACCCTCCATCATAGGAAATAAACTGTTATTGTTTTTATTCCATGTTTTGTGTTATAAAGAGAATATGTGACACCAGAGTGTGAAGAAGCACCCAAGTTTCACTGCTGTTTGAGACTTGGCCCCAAGATACAAGTATCAGTGATAAATACAATTGCTTCAAGTTTTCATTCCGTGATAAATACATCGCATGTACAACTGCTTCAAGTTTTCATTCCGTGATAAATACATCGCGTGTACAACAGCTTCAAGTTTTCATTCCGTGATAAATACATCGCGTGTACAACTGCTTCAAGTTTTTATTCCGTGATAAATACATCGCATGTACAACTGCTTCAAGTTTTCATTCCGTGATAAATACATCGTGTGTACAACTGCTTCAAGTTTTCATTCCGGGATAATAGATCATGTGTACAACTGCTTCAAGTTTTCATTCCATGATAAATACATCGCGTGTACAACTGCTACAAGTTTTCATTCCACGATAAATACATCATGTGTACAACTGCTTCAAGTTTTCATTCCATGATAAATACATCGCGTGTACAACTGCTACAAGTTTTCATTCCACGATAAATACATCATGTGTACAACTGCTTCAAGTTTTCATTCCATGATAAATACATCACGTGTACAGATGGTTTATTAAGTCATCATACGTTGATCCGCCCCAGGCCATGTTCCCTAAATCTATGGAGCGTCGTTTAAACAGACTGTAATATGAAAGGGTATTTAAACAGAACCCGAAATGTAAAATGCATGCATGATAAGGGACCTGGTTCAAAAGCCTGCTGCTGCTTCTCAAACCTCCCCATTTACACATGATTAACGACCAAATTATACATGTTTGCTCCAAATAATTCGGGAGTGAATTCAAAACATATAGAATAAAAAGTGTACAATTTTGATGTTGTAAGTGCATTTTGACAAAGGGCTTCCCTGTGTATCACTCGAGTGCAGTGCGTGCGCCATCAGGTAAAGTTACCAGATGGTAATTTAGGCAATGAATTACACTTTGGTGCATTATCAGAACTGTGTTTTTTCTCTCATACTTCTGTAGTTTCAAATTACATGCAAGCATGCCCACTCCCGAATCCACGGACACATTGCGTCGGGTATATTTGTTTAACTTAGGTTGCTTGAGGTAGGATCATATCGTTTGTTGCTCACGATACCCGCACGTGCCTTGTAGCCTATACTGCTTAGAAACTGTTTGAAATAGCGAGAAACGTATATTATGTAGGGTATTATCCACGATTGTGTCAGAAGCTGACACGCTGCCCAGCATGAATAGAGATGTGTGGTCTTGCATACTTGCTGCGGGGACTGTCTATCTTGTCACAATTACAGCTGTTTCGAACTAAAACACAGCTGTTCATTTCCCACAAATACTAATTTCAAATGTACTGTAACAATATATGTATTACAATCACAAATTCGTTTCATTTACAGCAAATATATTTCATAGTTAATATTGAACACCGTATAAAGGACATTAACCTTTCCATTATGCATGTCATACACATACACATGTGTAAAATAATCACGTATCTACTTATGATTTTGGCATGTAATAGGACAACACAAACCCTCTCTCTCTCTCCCCCCCCCCCCTCTCTCTCTCTCTCTCTCTCCCTCTCCCCCTCTCTCTCTCACTCTCTCTCCCCCTCTCTCACTCTCTCTCTCTCCCCCTCTCTCTCTCTCCCTCCCCCCCCCCCTCTCTCTCTCTCTCCCCCTCTCTCTCTCCTTGCCTGTTCTATACTATATAATACTATCAACTCGAAATATTCATAACTACACTTTGTAGGCTTGAAGTTATCACAATACGTACGGTAAGGAGATACATTTATACACATAATAAACAGTATTTCCCATTTAGTAAATAATACTCTGTATTAAATAAAATAACGTTTAAAATGTAATGTTGACTAACATCTAGTCTCTGAAATCAAAATATTTTACAGAAAAAATAGCACGTGATGTAATCGACGTTTTAAGGCAGTACATTGTATAACATTTCTGTACTTCCATAGCCGCCTGTTTCTCCAGACATCTCCCCCATAGAACATGTCAGGGATGGGGAAGGCATCTGACAGAACACTAGAACAGGTAAAAAGAAATTGAGTACACTGTAATTCCATCATATAAGAAAGATAGAAAGACTGCCCTGTAGACACACATTCGTGAGCGCACGCACGCACGCACGCACGCACGCACACACACACACACACACACACACACACACACACGCCTCTGGATCCGTGTATGGTATACGAATTCAACCTTCGTTTCATTGTCAAAATAAAATGGCTTTCATTTCGCTGTGCAAGTTTTCCAGCTTCGTCTGTTGCTGACCCTGTTTTAGGATTTTATGAACGCTTCCCAAAGTTCCTATCCTCATTTTAAGTTTGTTTGCTAAGATTAATTATATCGGTTATTAAAGTATTCAAACTATTCATACATCAGGCTTTCTGGAGCGACTGGTTTGGGATTGAACACGGTGTGCTGGAGAGATACATCCTTAAGCACAGCCACGATCATAATTGGGTTCTGGTACGACAAACGGTTCTGGTACAACTTGAATAGGGACGGAACCGCTCAGCGGTGCCTTCGAGCACCCAGTTAACCCTGGTTATTATAAATCAAGCCTTGAAACGCGTTATTGCCATGGGAACCAGGTATCGGAATAGATGTAAATATTGTGCCGGTCTTCTTTTATGTTGAAGGTTTTTGTGAAAGCTTTTTTGATAACGAGAAATGTACTGTATATGACGACAAGTTATCATGCAAGTGTTAAATGCATGCTGCTGTTGTATTGACAAATCGTGCTGCCCGTGTATCGACTCAACTTGCCATGGTCATCATAAAGGACGGAAAGCTCAAAAGTTTGTCATCGCTCTCGTATTCAAATTTATTAACCTATATTTGAAAATATGAAAATTTCATAAGCTCAAATCGCTCTATTGAGCCTCTTTACCCTCACAAATTAAATTATTTCCAAGCCTGTCAGCTTAGTCTAGGAACAAAATATTGCCAATGTGACGTAAAGCTTTTACTCACTCACTAGTCTAGGAACAAAGCCCAAAGCTCTCAACAAACCAGACATCATACTCAGTACCAATCCGGGATTCGAACTCGTGATGAGCGAATCCTGGCAAGCTCATCAACGCAACTATATGGTAAAAGACCTGGCCACACATGTCGCCAAAGGATGAAAGAAGACGAGAGGTTATATTTTATCATCAGTTATTTTCCGTTAGAGACTTATACTGGGCAATGGATTGTCTTGCCCAGAATCGATAATTTACAGACAGCCGTCATATGGATGGAATATTGATGAGTGTGGCGTCAAACAGCAAACAATCACATCACATCTCTTGGGAGAACACGGATCATCATTGTTAATAGCAATGGTGACGCTACCGGGACGACATCGTTCGAGATCACGTTCTACCCTTCTACCCAAATGCAGGGACGTAACGTCACGTTTGCAGCAGGATAATCCACGCACACATGTTGCACGTGTTGTAACAAACATTTGAGGCAGCAAAACATTTCTGGACTGCCCTGACCGGCTGTTTCTCCAGACCTCTCCCCCATAGAATATGTCTTGGGTTAGATGCAACGATGCCAACGACAGGGCCAGCACCAGCCGGACTAGCTCAGTTGGACCAATCTTTGTTTAAGATTTGGAACAACACCCCCAGGCTGTTTTCAATCATCTGGTGCCCTGAATGCGCCCCCACTGCCTCGCCCGTATTAAGGCAAATGGTGGTCATTCCCGATATTAACAGTGTTATTGAGTTTCTACACCACCCCTCTGTCTCCTGTTACCATGTGGTAACGTTTCTAGGTTTGTCAGCACCATACCCGTGCTCGTGGGTTTCACCGAAGTGGTAAACGCCTGAGGCCTGCATCACTTCGGGCTTTCCTCCCACATTAAGCTGACATGCCGCAATATAACTGGAATACTGTTAAAAGCGGCGTTAAACCCAACTCACTCACTCACTGTTACCATGTGTGTAAGGGCGTTACTTTTTTCCGTTAGTATACTGATGATACGATGACAACCAAGTCAGCAAACCTCACCACCCGATCCTGTTAGTCGCCTCTTACAGCAAGCATGGGTTGCTGAAGACCTATTCTAACCCAGATCTTCTCGGGTTCTTTCTGTTTGTTTGTTTGTTACGGAAAGAAGCGAGTGGTGACGAATGGGATATACGTAGTTTCGGAAACGAACGATAACGAGGCGCTTGTGAGGTTGTATGTCCCTGTTTTTCCGGGTTCAGTTTCCAGATCAGATCAGCTTGCCAGGAGGACGGGCGGAAGCACCACTCACACATAACAGTACTCTACCATGGCAGCCAGACATGGACAAAATACTGCAAACGGAATCATATCAATAATAGTCTTGGTGTTCGGTGAGTATAAAGACTTGAAAAACGTCATCGTGCTATGTTTTAAAATGGAGAACATCCTCGTCAGCAACATGTTGGTGATTCACAACTCAGTGTCACACGAAGTCGGGGCGCGACTGGGATGTAATAAAGGAATTATTCAAGTAAAATTTTCAAGTATACTTTTAACGTACTAATTTGTTTGTTTTTAAAGGGGCACTGATCTAACGCAATTCTCCGGACTGGTTGTTGCCTTTGTTATTGTTTTTTCCCCCGTGAGTACCCGGATGATACGCTACGCAGCTGAGCGTGACCAGAGACTGGGCTACCGTCTGCAAGGACAGCTAAATAAACTTGGAGGCTGGAGGCAATCCAGTTTTATGATGTTAATGAACGTTTTTATTCAGAAAATAGGCCAACAGTGAAAACACAAACGGTTTCAAAACGGCGTTGCGCCACACGTACAGTGCAACAGCTAGTACAGTATTATATGTTAATTGCACTTTCGATGATCTAACCTTTCGATGATCTAGGGGGATCGTTTCTCATAATGCAAACTGTTCTACATTGTAAAGTGACTGTTATACCGTTGAATCGCGACTCGTCCATGCCAGAATGGGTTATTTTAACTGTATTTTAAATAATAGATTTTAGTGTCGCGATAATATTAACTTCCTTATTAGTTGAAAGTAATTTTCCTGATTGAAACAGGAAGTTAATCATTCGTACTGGGTTTTCTTATCATGAGTAATAAAACATAAAGAAAACACATTTCCGCTTTTATCGGATTTTTCATATCATAATGGATATGTTTTTGTCGCTTTTATTTATTTACAAATATCATCTTATTACCTCATCTTCGATTATCGATTAATTGATTACTTTACAAAGGTCCCTGTAGCGCACCTGTTGCACCTGTTGCGAGCGACGTATGACGTAATGGACGTCTGTGCCGCCCGTATCGCCAGTGCCCCTGTACTTCTTTTTGGTTTCTTTATTTTTAACGCCACACTCAGCAATATTCCAGCTATATGACGGCGGTCTGTTAGCAAGCGATTCTGGACCAGACAATCTAGTGATTCATGAGCATCGATATACGCAAATGGGATAAAATGAAATCCCCCAACCACACGACCCCGTTAGTCGCCTCTTACGACAAGCATGGGTTGCTGAAGACCAATTCTTACCCGGATCTTCACGGGCGATGCCCTCTGTAAGTATGGATATTATTTGGAATAAAGCAAATATATTGTCATGAATGGAAGTGTATGGAATATTTTGCAATGTGTTTTGTAAGAAGCCTAGTGTCACTGGTAATCCAGCACCACCTAGCGAGAGAAGTAGGGATTAGCCAAGCGTGTGTGTCCGTAGAGTAACTGTAGCATATGCAAGGGTAACAATCTCTCTATCATATAAACAGAATTATAAAATAATCGACATTGAAGACGTTTTGTCACCCACTCACTGGGGGCACGGGTGGCCAAGTCGTCTAAGGCGCCGCGATTCGCTGTGCAGAGTTGCGTCCCTTAGGCACGCCAGAAACCTATGATTGTGGGTTCGAATCCCGGTTCGCCCCGATTATGTTTCTACGTCTGTCAGTACCCTACCCGTGCTCGTGGGTTTCACCGAAGTGGTAAACGTCTGAGACCTGCATCACTTCGGGCTTTCCTCCCACATTAAGCCGACACACGTGATATAACCGGAATACTGTTAAAAGCGGCGCTAAACCCAAATCACTCACTCACCTACTCACTTTTGTCACCGCGTATGGATACAGTGCTGTAGTGAAGCACCCGTTGTCATGTTGTGCCCAAGTACTGGAAGCCATGTACAGAAAGACGAACGCATCGCTAAACTCCTTCCTAAACTTATTGCGAACGTTAGGCAGCCGTATATTGAGCAAGTAGACACTGAATCAGTGCATGGAGTTCTTAAGAGGTGTACATGCTGGACTATCTCATTTGCATATTTATTGGATGAGTACAGTGGTTCTATTTTCAACAATGTCGAATGCGGTAACCTCTATGATATTCTCTGCATGTTTTTTTGTAATATATGGAGAATCAAAGAAGCGTCTGTTCATTATTAACGTTGCAAATATTTGCCCATATACGTACGAGTATCCCATTTGTATCATTCGTCACCACTCGCCCCTTTCCGTAAACTGCAAGAAGACATTCGTCACCACTCGCTCCTTTCCGTAACCCGCAAGAAGACATTCGTCACCACTCGCCCCTTTCCGTAACCTGCAAGAAGGCTTGTCCCGGAATAACACGAGTTGGTCATGAATGCTATTTGTATTTGAAGGGCAAAGTTATGATTTAAAACCAGCTGAATGAACTTCAGAAGACACGATAATCATCACTGTGTCCGACACGGATTAATGAAAGTAACTCAGTCCGGTACATATAACTGATAGACGTGTATGGAAAGACTGGCGTCCCCGCGGGTGCCCAGTTACCTATACTGGACATAAGAGTCGACTGAAACGGACCAGGTGACAAGGGTCAATGACCTGGATGTTCTTGTCAGTGTATCCCCATGGTCCCTGGTTGGCCCGGTGTAGTACAGTCCGTCCTGTTATTGCCGGAAAAGGTCTTCAGCAACCCATGCTTGCCATAAAATGCGACTATGCTCGTCGCATAAGGCGACTTTCGGGATCGGGTGGTCAGGCTCGCGTAGATCGATGCTCATGATGTCAATCACTGGATTGTCTGGTCCAGTCTCGATTATTTACAGACCGCCGTCATATAGCTGGAATATTTCTGAGCGCGGCGTTAAACAACAAACCAACCTAGTATAGGTCTCCAGCAAACAAAAAGAGGCATTCTATAACGTCATGGTGCCACGTCACCAATAGACTTTCATGGACGTTCTTAAACTTTGATTTACGACTGATATGTCTGTCATATAATTCTCATCACTTCTTGGCATGGCTTATAATCCTTGTATAAGTCCGTGCTGATTGCCATTTAAATACTGTGGATTTAGTGGAATGATTCTCTGAGCGGGTTCTTCGCGTCGTGTCCGAATAAATATATATTCTGAGTAAAAAGAAAGTTTCACGACATTTCCTTGCCTCGGCTTATTTGCCTCGGTTAAACAACAAACAAACAAACAAATCTTATGTAATGTTTCATGACATTTTGCGGAAGTATTCTCTTGTCATTGTGTGGTTGCAATCGGAAAACACATCTGTGACCTAGATACATTGCCCTTTGAGGGAATACGAAACGGTCCGGTACTGTAGCGCAGCCAGCACAGAAGGTCAACTGTGTTTTTATGCCGCATTCAGAAGGATCCCAGCTACTTGACGGCGGCCTGTCAATAATCTAATCTGGAATATGCAAACCAGCGATTGATATCATGAGCAACTATTTACGTTGACGGGTTTGATGAAATACAATCAACAAAGTCGCCGAGTCATCACCCCATCCAATAATTCATCTCTCACAACCATCCTAGGTTGATGGGGACCTGGCCACCTTACACGATCTTAAAAAATTACGACTGGAACTCTTCCCCTTTGTGAGGTAGGACACCGGCACTAGAGTTACCTACCGTGGCAGGTGCTCTGAGCAGACGACGAAGCGCAGTAAAATGGAGGACTTTTGCGTAGGGAAGTCAAAAAGAAGGAGAAACTTTTCGGCCACAGAAGTAGAAATTCTCACTGAAGAAGTTGGCAGCAATTGGCGCTGACATTTAGTGTCGACCATCTATGCGTCATGAAAATATGAAAAGTGTATGTACATATGGACATCAATACATCACCGGTTGAGGGGCGGTGGGGTACCCTAGTGGTTAAAGTGTTCTCTCGGCACGCCTAAGACCCGGGTTCGATTTCCCCACATGGGTACAATGTGTGAAGTCTACTTCTCGTGTCCCTCGCCGTGATATTACTGGAATATTGCTAAAGTTGCACGAGTTGGTTGTTTCTCATTTCATTAGCTAACTAAAACACTAAGATAGACACGTCACTTCTATACAGACCAATCGGCCAAATCACCCACTGGTGATACTATGCTCGTCGTTTGAGGCGACTTTAGGGATAGGGTGGTCAGGCTCGCGTAGATCGATGCTCATGATGTCAATCACTGGATTGTCTGGTCCAGACTCTATTATTTACAGACCGCCGTCATATAGCTGGAATATTGCGAAGTGCGGCGTTAAACAAGCAAACAATCAAACAAACCAACACCGGAAGTAGTGAGGTGTTCTGGTACATGCCCATGACAACTATTGAACATGTTTCCAATGGCATTTACAAGTAGGAGTACTAAGCAAGGATGAGATATATGCATGAACAACCTCTTAATTACAATTGGGAGAGACGTCTCGGTCTTGGTTCTAACACCGCTATCAAGCAAGTGATGTTGTGTGGTGTTAGAACCTACCCTGCAACGTTGCTCCTAATTGTTATAAAGAAACTGTTCATCCATATATCTTATCCTTACTTTACCTCTCTAGAGATTGGAAGAATTTACATTATTAGGGTTCAGTATGCCTATACAGTAAACTACGGTTATAACGAACACGCTTATAACGAACTTACGGATATAACGAACTTACTTTTTGGTCCCGACTACTTGCTGTTGTTATGCTGTATATATGCTTATAACGAACTACGGTTATAACGAACTAAAATTAGTAGTCCCTTTGAGTTCGTTATAACCGTACTTTACTGTAATTGTAACTGGATTATTCAGATCATTTGCCTATTCTGACAACAATCATCTAGTTTGATCAGTGGGAATTTCGGCTAATGACGATGAACTCTGGTGACAGTGGGGCTTCAAGTTAAGCTAACTAGCCCTTAATACCACTTTTGGTTGTATGTTGTTGAAAGAACTGTTGTTTTGGATATTGGATTGCTGCCTCGTTACTATTGTTTGTCGGAAATATCCATCGTCATGTCATGTTGATTGGGGGTCGTCTAAGGCGCCGCGATTCGCTGTGCAGAGTTGCGTCCCTTGGGCACGCCAGAAACCTATGATTGTGGGTTTCTCGGTTTGTCAGCACCATATCCCTGCTCGTGGGTTTCACCGAAGTGGTACACATCTGAGACCTGCATCACTTCGGGCTTTCCTCCCACATTAAGCTGACACGCCGTGATATTACTGGAATACTGTTAAAAGCGGCGTTAAACCCAACTCACTCACTCACTCACGTTGATTGTGACCTTGCACCTCCCGTGTGTTCTTCAGGAGTTATCATCAGCAGCGTGGCGAGTGCATTACTTCGAAAGTTCATCAGAAATGACGAGGGAGACGTCAGCAACATCGTCGACACCACCAGCCACCGCAGCGTATTTCCCTACGCAACGTCGCCGATATGGACGCTTGGCTTGTTTGTAAGTATCGTGCAATCGTTATTTATTTCCAATTTGGTTTAGGGGTGTTCAAACCAACTATGTTGGGACTTTCCATTTGGGTTTAAGAGTGCACAGTCTATGCGTATACCCAAATAGTTGTATATTCGTGTCAGGGGAATTACGTATCTTTACGAGCGCGTGGGGATTCGGGGATAGAAGCGACCCCCAGTATCTTCTGCTTTAAAAGGTGACTGATATGGAATGGGTCATCAGATTCTGTATTTTTTTTTATTGCGTGTCATCATACCCCGACGACATGGGACATTGCTCATGATACCGATCACTGGTTTATCTGAACAAGACTGATTAGTTATAGGCCTTCAACAACCCATGCTTGCAGTAAAAGGTGACTATGCTTGTCGTAAGAGGCCACTAACGGGATCGGGTGGTCAGGCTGGCTGACTTGGTTGATGCATGTCATCGTATCCGAATTGCGTGGATCGATGCTCATGATATCAATCACTGGGTTGTCTGGTCCAAATTCGAATATTTACAGACCACCGTCATATAGCTGGAATATTGCTAAGTGCGGCGTTAAACAATAAACAAACAAACAAACAAAAGTTATAGGCCGACGTTACATAGCTGGAATATTGTTGACTGACGTTAAACAAGATTCACTCCAAATGCAAACACGAATTCTGTTTGGATTTATAAACTTACAAATCAATGTAAAAATTCCACCTTGGCCTGGGGGCACGAGTGGCCCAGTCGTCTAAGGCGCCGCGATTCGCTGTGCAGAGTTGCGTCCCTTGGGCCACCCCAGAAACCTATGATTGTGGGTTCGAATCCCGGTTCGCCCCGATTATGTTTCTAGGTTTGTCAGCACCATACCCGTGCTCCTGGGTTTCACCGAAGTGGTAAACGTCTGAGACCTGCATCACTTCGGGCTTTCCTCCCACATTAAGCTGACACGCCGTGATATAACTGGAATAATGTTAAAAGCGGCGTTAAACCCAACTCACTCACTCACTCACTCCACCTTGGCCTCTTTTTTTTTAGTCATTAGTATTTGTCAACTCTGTGTCCAGGTGATATGTCTTTCCGAACTCATACGTATAATCACGGACTTGTATAACCAGGTTATATAGGTCCGTGGTATAATCAGCCAATCAACTGAGATTGATGATTAAACGGACAAATAGTAATGACATTCTTGATCACACGGAAAGGATGACGTTTCACGGAAGGATGACATTTGACGGTATGTTGCTGTTTCACGGAAGGTTGACGTTTCACGGTAGGATGACCCTGATGCTTCACGGTATGTTGGTGATTAACGGAAGTTTGACGTTAACGTTTCACGGTAGGATGACGTTTCACGGAAGGCTGACCCTGATGTTTCACGGTATGTTGATGTTTCACGGAAGGTTGACGTTTCACGGTAGGATGACGTTTCACGGAAGGTTGACGTTTCACGGTAGGATGACGTTTCACGGTAGGATGACGTTTCACGGAAGGCTGACCCTGATGTTTCACGGTATGTTGATGTTTCACGGAAGGTTGACGTTAACGTTTCACGGTATGTTGACATTTTACGGTATGTTGCGGTTTCACGGAAGGTTGACGTTTCACGGTAGGATGACGTTTCACGGAAGGCTGACCCTGATGCCTCACGGTATGTTGGTGTTTAACGGAAGGTTGACGTTAACGTTTCACGGTATGATGACGTTTCTAGAAGGTTGATGTTTCAGGGAAGGTTGGCGTTATCTGCAAGATTGATGATTCACGCTCTTCCACTATTTCAGTACGTCTTCCCAGGCCTGATTGGTTTCATCTCCGCCTTCGTCAAACAGAAAGGAGTGGTAAGTTCAAGATACAAGTCAAACTGATTTAGTCGAAATGTTAACATTTTATGAAATTAGACATCAGATCAATGTAAAATCGACTTTCTGTGCCCTTGGATTACTCTCGTGCTGCTCCCCGTCCTGTGTATGTGGGTATATGAATGGTGGTATTGGGCGATACAACAAACTGACACAGTGTCGTTCTAAACACCTGTTCCAAACTTCGGGCGTTGATGGGTGGCCCAGTCGTCTAAGGCGCCGCGATTCGCTGTACAGAGTTGCGTCCCTTGGGCACGCCAGAAACCTATGATTGTGGGTTCGCATCCCGGTTCGCCCCAATTATGTTTCTAGGTTTGTCAGCACCATACCCGTGCTCCTGGGTTTCACCGAAGTGGTAAACGTCTGAGACCTGCATCACTTCGGGCTTTCCTCCCACATTAAGCTGACACACGTGATATAACTGGAATAATGTTAAAATCGGCGTTAAACCCAACTCACTCACTCACTCACTCACTCACTCACTCACTCATGAAGGAGGAATTGTGTAAAGGTGACATTACATGATGTACTGAGGTATATCCAAAGAAACATGAGTCAACTGAGCAGTTTTCGCTGTGACAAATCTATAAAATAAACAGGGGTCTGTGGATAAAGTTGAGCAACGCGCTGTTCTATACCCCAAGTACTTAACTCAAATGATAGTCTATTGTCTACGGTAAATCACTCACATTGTTATCTATTGTCTACGGTAAATCACTCACATTGTTTTCTATTAACTACGGTACATCACTCACATTGTATTCTATTGTCTACAGTACATCACTAACATTGTATTCTATTGTCTACGGTACATCACTCACATTGTATTCTATTGTCTACGGTACATCACTCACATTGTATTCTATTGTCTACGGTACATCGCTCACAATGTATTCTATTGTCTACAGTACATCACTCACATTGTATTCTATTGTCTACAGTACATCACTCACAATGCATTCTATTGTCTACAGTACATCGATCACATGGTGTTATATGTACTCCAGTTCATCACTCACATGGTGTCTATATACTCCAGTACATCACTCACGTGGTGTCCTATATACTCCAGTAAATCATTCATATGGTGTCCTGTATACTCCAGTACATCACTCACATGGTGTTCTATATACTCCAGTACATCACTCACATGGTGTTCTATTGTCTACAGTACAACGCTCACATGGTGTTCTATTGTCTACAGTACATCGCTCACATGGTGTTCTATTGTCTACAGTACATCGCTCACATGGTGTTCTATTGTCTACAGTACATCGCTCACATGGTGTTCTATTGTCTACAGTACATCGCTCACATGGTGTTCTATTGTCTACAGTACATCGCTCACATGGTGTTCTATATACTCCAGTACATCACTCACATGGTGTTCTATATACTCCAGTACATCACTCACACATTGTTCTATTGTCTACAGTACATCACTCACATGGTGTTCTATTGTCTACAGTACATCACTCACATGGTGTTCTATTGTCTACAGTACATCGCTCACATGGTGTTCTATATACTCCAGTACATCACTCACACAGTGTTCTATTGTCTACAGTACATCACTCACATGGTGTTCTATATACTCCAGTACATCACTCACATGGTGTTCTATATACTCCAGTACATCACTCACACAGTGTTCTATTGTCTACAGTACATCACTCACATGGTGTTCTATTGTCTACAGTACATCAATCACATGGTGTTCTAATGTCTACAGTACATCGCTCACATGGTGTTCAGCATCATTTCGCTCGTCGTCATGGGGATGTTCTTCCTGGTTGGGCAGCTGGCTATCTTGCGCCTCGCCACCACCGACATCAGCGAGTGTGTCCCCGTGGGAAGTAAATGTCAGTGCTCGTAAGTCTAATCTGTAAACATTTGTGTTTACTTCTCGTTTCTTGGTTGATATATAACCTTTAAAGAATTTTATTTTTTAAGTTTGTTAGAAACAGAAAAGTATCTTAATGCAATTAGGGATTTACATTTTAAAATATTATTGTGAAGTTTAGATGGGGACCATTACGATTGAGAAATAATGAAGGTAGGTGGCAAAACAAATCGACATTTGCATGAGAAAGTGTCCTTTTTGTGATCGTGGTATAAAGGAAGAATGGCATTTTTCACTTGCATGTGCTACTTATGATTCTATATGAATTAAGTAATTACCAAAGACATGTATCACTAATGTAAATATTCATATCTTCAAAAAGATAATTGCCACAAAAGATCCTTAACAAATGAAATCCCTATTCCTGTATATTTATCCTGTGTATGAAAGAAGAAAGTATGTGTTAAACAATGTTTATAATGTTGTATATTGCCAATAACATTCTTGTAAATTGTTATTTGTATATGGGTATTTGGCCTTCATACAGAATAAAGTTGGGATTTGTTATAAAAACGTTGCAGGACAAGGATGATATTCCAAACCATTATCTTGGAGAGAGGCAATTTTAAGACTCTCCATACACTGTCCATTATGATAGATTGTGATATGGAATTTTGCAGGAATTCTGGGCCCGTATCAATGACTTGTGACGACATGCGCAGCATCTACACCATGACCATCGTTCTCGCTCTCGTCTTTGTCGTAGCATGGATTCTCTCCCTTGTCGGCACTATCCTGTCCGGCATGCTCGGCTGCAGACGTGAGGTAAGCGGTCCCTTAACACGTCTCTACGACATCAGTAGAACAGCTGTAAACATCGGAATATGGTTTGATTGAATATCTTCTAAGAGGCGTTGGGGCAGTGGGGTAGCCTAGTGTTTAAGGGTTCGCTCGTCATGCCGAAGACCTGGGTTCGATTCCTCACATGGGTACTATGTGTGAAGCCCATTTCTGGTGTGCCAGAAACGTTATATTATGGGTGAGATCCCGATTGGCCCTGATTATGTTTCTAAGTTTGTCTGCGCGATTCTCAGCCTCGTTGGTTTCACCAACGTTTTAAACACCTAACACCTGCATCACTTAGGGCCATAAATGTCTCCAGCCTGACACGTCGTGATGTAACTGTCCTAAGCAACGCTTTAACCCAAACTCCGTACTTCACTTTCTTTACAGCCTGTGGGTATCATCATCCAGAGATCCCCCATGACCACCACCGTCTACAGTGTGAAGCCGGGGATGATACGGACGGCTCCGACGGGCTACACTCCCCTCCAGGTGGAGTATCAACCCCAGACGCGAGACAACGCTAACCTTGTCACCAACATGTTCTAGTGCACCGGAGGATGTGGTCGATTACTCTCCAGCACTAAAACTGATGTTTCTCGTCAGAAGCTTGTTTTGAAATGACCAGGCATCTTCGAAATCTCTCTTAAAGTCCAGTTTCCACTCTTGCCGAACTGGGCTTGAATTTCTGGGCTCGATCGTAGCGCTACCAATGGCTATTACGGGCTATATCCCTTCTATGTCCCTCCTATTGACCAATCAGATTCCACCTGTCATATCATATTTCTTTCAAGCAAAATGGCGGCGCCCAGTTAAGGCGATCTGACCGATGATCAAGATATATATTGTAATAAAGCGGATCTAACCTCGCAAAGTGCATCAAATCACGTGAGCACCTTGATTAAAAACATGAAAAGATTTGTAAAATATCTGTCAACGCCCAGTTGACGACACACATCTTTTTCAAATCCTGCAGTCGACCGAAATCTGCATGTTGAAATCCATTTTCTTTATGAACCGGATGTCGATTTCGTTACGCGTTTTCGATTGGACTATGAATAGTCTCGTTAATCCAGCCAAAATATAACTCCACAATCGCAGTCAAGTTCAGCTGGGTTGGGAACCCTTGCGTCGGGAAGATGTGACCAGGTGACCTGGCTTTTTTTCTCAGCTGATTCTATATCGCTTGCAATTTCACATATGATCTTGCAGATCACCTCATAAAACTCCTCTTTAAATGAACATGGGTCCAGAATGCCCAACCTTTCTGTCAAAAGTTACGTCCCTCAACTGCCAGGATCAACGGCCGTGAATTCGTCTTCAAAATTCGTCCCGATTATGATCCTCGGTTTTTCAACACCTCAACCGTGCTTTTGGCTTTCATCAAACTGGTGATTAAACGTCTGCATCTTGGGTGACCTGTGGCTTTCCCACATTCAAATGTTGTTGTATTCTCTCGTTCTACACGTATTCATTCACTGTGGCGTTTTATACTGACTTATATGATACTTGCTGGGTCTGCGAATTAGTCGGAGGTAAACTGCCGGGCAACGAAAGTACACATTTGAAAATTGGATTTGACGTTACAAGGTTGAAATCAGTCACCTGTTGTGAGATACCCATTGATATGAAGCATGTAATATCGCCAATGACATCATCATCACATAGATTTCCATCGCATAACAATGTTTTGTTTATTTCATTTTTAGCCAGCTTCAAACATGGGTGTATACTATCTCTTGCCCGGAAGTTTAAATTCTCTCTGAAAGTCGAGTAATATTGTGTATCTGTGTTGTTGTTGTTGTTAAGCCTTTTCATGAGCTGTGCAGAGTTGCGTCCCTTGGGCACGCCAGAAACCTATGATTGTGGGATCGAATCCCGGTTCGCCCCGATTATGTTTCTAGGTTTGTCAGCGCCATACCCGTGCTCGTGGGTTTCACCGAAGTGGTAAACGTCTAAGACCTGCATCACTTCAGGCTTTCCTCTCACATTAAGCTGACACGCCGTGATATAACTGAAATAATGTTCAAAGCCGCGTTAAACCCAACTCACTCACTCACTCATTAAGCCTTTTAAGTATATAGTACAGCGATTTGGGGACCTTTTTATGAAAAGCATGCTAAACATTCGCTCGATAAGGTCGGAGTTTCAGAATGCCGTTAGCGTTGTTAAAAGTGAGGCTGTGACATGGAAGCGTTGTGTCCATAAATAGGTAGCATTCCTGATGACAAGAGGAATAACATTTACATACTGTTCACTGTGAGCATTAACTCTCCATGCTCATTCGCACATTCGGAGTTCTGTTGAATTAAACTGACGGTCAAAGAAAGTAGGGCGGTCGGGTAGCCTCGTGGTTAAAGCGTTCGCTCGTCACGCCGAAGACCCGGGTAAAATGTGTGAAGCCCATTTCTGGTGTTCCCCGCCGTGTTATTGCTGGAATATTGCTAAAAGCGGCGCACGCAAAAACTCTCCGGCGCACGGAAACAGTTAGTTGTCTGATGACGTCACGTGGGATACATGGCCATTCTTCTTGGAGGACCTGGATCAGGACCTCGTTGGCAGGATGAGGTCGCTGTCGAACACGACGATCCATGACATCCCAGATGTGATCTATGGGGGACATGTCTTCAATGGACGTAGTTAGCCTGGGTCTGCCTGTTCTTGGCCTGTCTGATGTCTGTCCGGCCTGTCTGTGACGTTGCATCAGGTTGTTACAACAACAAGGGAGCAACAAACGTTTTATCAATGTGGGCACGGGAGGCTCCCATCTGTATCATGTTGGGCATTTTTGTGGAGTTCTTTATCAGTGTTAATGTCTGACGCGTAGTTTTCGCATTTGTTTCTCAAAAAGCCGTGTCGTGGACGTATATCGCTTTCTGCGCAGAGCATTGCTTCGGTTTGAACTTGTGTTTTTAAAGTTTTGCAGTTTCATTTATAAAGTTGTGAAACTTCTTCTAAAGTCTCCAGAACACAATTTTATGTGCGCTTAGCTCAGTACTCAGTTAAGCTCAGCTCTCACGTGATATCAGTGTTAAATAAAACAAACCTTCAATCGACATAATATGTTCTTCCCTTTTTTCGATGCATTAATGTGGCCGAAAACATGCATTACTAAATACTAAAATTCAGGTCCTGTAATATGGAAAAAAGGGATGACGTGGATGGATGTATTGTATTATGGAACCAATTACTTTTTAATTGGGAACAAATGTCAGTCTTATTTTCAGTGTATATTTGTCTAAAGCAGCCGTATTGATTTTCCAGCAGTTGACAAAACGAAGGCATATTGTTACTTCGCTTGTTTTCAGAGGGGCGGTACGGTAGCCGAGTGGTTACAGCGTTCGCTCATCACACCGAGGACTCGGGTTCCATTTCTGGTGTCCCCCGCCGTGATATTGCTGGAATATTGCTAAAAGCGGCGTCAAATCATACTCACTCACTCACTGTTTTCAGATAAACATTCCAAAAAAGCATACCAACTGGTGTTTTTTTAATTGTATGTTTTTGTTCAGTGAATATTTGAAATTACATCGCTTCTATTTCAAGGGACCTGGGAGTTTCAGCAGTCTATGATATTGCTTTAATAAACTCAAATGTTTATCTTCATCGGTGTCAAGTGTTCATTGTTCACTGAGAAAGTCGTTCAATGGACTTGGGTAGATCGATGGACGGGAGACGCCCTTCCCCGCTGTCGAGAGTCACGCGTGAGTTAATCACAGTATACAACGCCAAGTGTGGACAATACGGGATAATGGAGGATGTTTTATGGACCATGGTTTAACGTTATGCTTCTGTGATAAGCTCTTTGGTACCGTGGTGTACGTAAGTCAAAGGCATGACCTTAACGTGTATTATACATCGTCCTGTGGTATAATGTACCAAAGGAAACCCTGAAAATTAGCTGAGAGTTACTTCCCTTCCCTCACAAGCTTATCATCGCTCGACACCTGGATTATATACCCTTCTGTCCGTGTGTTATAGGCAGAGGACCCTATTTCTCAGCATTCTAGTTAGTAAATATAGGGATTGCCTAAAAGTCGGGCCGGGCCGGGCCAAGACGGGCCAAAGTGTTATTGGCTAATTACTTAATTATCGGCGATCATATCTACATATTATTGATGCAACATACACACATGACACTACTGAACAATCACCAATCCAAAACGTGCAGCATAATTAAGTAATTCGGAGTAAATCACTTAAAAACTAGAAAGTGGAGCTGTGTGTTAGCGTCGCTGATCTAGGTAACATGTAAAAGAGCAATCGTTAAACGAAATAGGATTTGACACGTATCAAATACTTCTAGCTATCGTCATACGAATTTCCATCTGTCGGCATAGCGTTTATATTATAGGAACGTACTATATCTAAATAAATACCACTTTATAACGTCACTGTTCATCGTATTTAAAGCAGACACGTTGGTTAAAGTAGACCTCTTCTCCCTCTACTCTCGACAGTCACACAGTTCGCTCCGACTTGGCCCGGGCTGTCAAAATCAACTTTAAACACACAGATTTATCTTCAAATGTGATTACCTCTATAGATTAGTGTTATATCTACATATACACCACTTTATAATGTTACAGATCGCAGTATTTATAGACAACAAGGGGCTCGAAAGTGAAGCCCTTTTCCCTCTACATTCTCAACATAGTCTCTATCAGAAGTGTTTGGCTTGTGTTGGGTCCGACTTGGCCCGGGCGGTCAAAATCAACTTTAAACACACAGATGTATCTTCAAATGTGACTAAATCTATAGATTAGTGTTATATCTACCTATACACCACTTTATAATGTCCAGGTGTATCGCATTTAAAGAAATCTGCGCCCTTAAAGTGAAGCATTTTTACTGTATTTTCTTTAAAAAATCCAAGTCAGAAATGTTCGGTCCGACCTGGCCCGGGCTGTTAAAATCAACTTAAACCTCACAGATGTATCATCAAATGGATTCACATCTATAGATTAGTATTATATCTACCTATACATCACTTTATAATGTCACAGATTGAAGTATTTATAGAAGACATGGGGCTTAAAGTGAAGCCCTTTTCCCCTCTACATTCTCAACATAGTCTCTATCAGAAGTGTTTGGCTTGTGTTGGGTCCGACTTGGCCCGGGCGGTCAAAATCAACTTTAAACACACAGATGTATCTTCAAATGTGACTAAATCTATAGATTAGTGTTATATCTACCTATACACCAATTTATAATGTCACAGATCGCAGTATTTATAGAAGACATGGGGCTTAAAGTGAAGCCCTTTTCCCCTCTACATTCTCAACATAGTCTCTATCAGAAGTGTTTGGCTTGTGTTGGGTCCGACCTGGCCCGGGCTGTTAAAATCAACTTAAACCTCACAGATGTATCATCAAATGGATTCACATCTATAGATTAGTATTATATCTACCTATACATCACTTTATAATGTCACAGATTGCAGTATTTATAGACAACAAGGGGCTCGAAAGTGAAGCCCTTTTCCCTCTACATTCTCAACATAGTCTCTATCAGAAGTGTTTGGCTTGTGTTGGGTCCGACTTGGCCCGGGCGGTCAAAATCAACTTTAAACACACAGATGTAACTTCAAATGTGATTAAATCTATAGATTAGTGTTATATCTACCTATACACCAATTTCTAATGTCCAGGTGTGTCGCATTTAAAGAAATCTGCGCCCTTAAAGTGAAGCATTTTTACTGTATTTTCTTTAAAAAATCCAAGTCAGAAATGTTCGGTCCGACCTGGCCCGGGCTGTTAAAATCAACTTAAACCTCACAGATGTATCATCAAATGGATTCACATCTATAGATTAGTATTATATCTACCTATACACCACTTTATAATGTCACAGATTGCAGTCTTTATAGACAACAAGGGGCTCGAAAGTGAAGCCCTTTTCCCTCTACATTCTCAACATAGTCTCTATCAGAAGTGTTTGGCTTGTGTTGGGTCCGACTTGGCCCGGGCGGTCAAAATCAACTTTAAACACACAGATGTATCTTCAAATGTGATTAAATCTATAGATTAGTGTTATATCTACCTATACACCAATTTATAATGTCCAGGTGTATCGCATTTAAAGAAATCTGCGCCCTTAAAGTGAAGCATTTTTACTGTATTTTCTTTAAAAAATCCAAGTCAGAAATGTTCGGTCCGACCTGGCCCGGGCTGTTAAAATCAACTTAAACCTCACAGATGTATCATCAAATGGATTCACATCTATAGATTAGTATTATATCTACCTATACACCACTTTATAATGTCACAGATTGCAGTATTTATAGACAACAAGGGGCTCGAAAGTGAAGCCCTTTTCCCTCTACATTCTCAACATAGTCTCTATCAGAAGTGTTTGGCTTGTGTTGGGTCCGACTTGGCCCGGGCGGTCAAAATCAACTTTAAACACACAGATGTAACTTCAAATGTGATTAAATCTATAGATTAGTGTTATATCTACCTATACACCAATTTATAATGTCCAGGTGTATCGCATTTAAAGAAATCTGCGCCCTTAAAGTGAAGCATTTTTACTGTATTTTCTTTAAAAAAAAACAAGTCAGAAATGTTCGGTCCGACCTGGCCCGGGTTGTTAAAATCAACTTAAACCTCACAGATGTATCTTCAAATGTGATTAAATCTATAGATTAGTATTATATCTACTTATACACCACTTTATAATGTCACAGATTGCAGTATTTATAGACAACAAGGGGCTCGAAAGTGAAGCCCTTTTCCCTCTACATTCTCAACATAGTCTCTATCAGAAGTGTTTGGCTTGTGTTGGGTCCGACTTGGCCCGGGCGGTCAAAATCAACTTTAAACACACAGATGTATCTTCAAATGTGACTAAATCTATAGATTAGTGTTATATCTACCTATACACCAATTTATAATGTCACAGATCGCAGTATTTATAGAAGACATGGGGCTTAAAGTGAAGCCCTTTTCCCCTCTACATTCTCAACATAGTCTCTATCAGAAGTGTTTGGCTTGTGTTGGGTCCGACCTGGCCCGGGCTGTTAAAATCAACTTAAACCTCACAGATGTATCATCAAATGGATTCACATCTATAGATTAGTATTATATCTACCTATACATCACTTTATAATGTCACAGATTGCAGTATTTATAGACAACAAGGGGCTCGAAAGTGAAGCCCTTTTCCCTCTACATTCTCAACATAGTCTCTATCAGAAGTGTTTGGCTTGTGTTGGGTCCGACTTGGCCCGGGCGGTCAAAATCAACTTTAAACACACAGATGTAACTTCAAATGTGATTAAATCTATAGATTAGTGTTATATCTACCTATACACCAATTTCTAATGTCCAGGTGTGTCGCATTTAAAGAAATCTGCGCCCTTAAAGTGAAGCATTTTTACTGTATTTTCTTTAAAAAATCCAAGTCAGAAATGTTCGGTCCGACCTGGCCCGGGCTGTTAAAATCAACTTAAACCTCACAGATGTATCATCAAATGGATTCACATCTATAGATTAGTATTATATCTACCTGTACACCACTTTATAATGTCACAGATTGCAGTATTTATAGACAACAAGGGGCTCGAAAGTGAAGCCCTTTTCCCTCTACATTCTCAACATAGTCTCTATCAGAAGTGTTTGGCTTGTGTTGGGTCCGACTTGGCCCGGGCGGTCAAAATCAACTTTAAACACACAGATGTAACTTCAAATGTGATTAAATCTATAGATTAGTGTTATATCTACCTATACACCAATTTATAATGTCCAGGTGTATCGCATTTAAAGAAATCTGCGCCCTTAAAGTGAAGCATTTTTACTGTATTTTCTTTAAAAAAAAACAAGTCAGAAATGTTCGGTCCGACCTGGCCCGGGTTGTTAAAATCAACTTAAACCTCACAGATGTATCTTCAAATGTGATTAAATCTATAGATTAGTATTATATCTACTTATACACCACTTTATAATGTCACAGATTGCAGTATTTATAGACAACAAGGGGCTCGAAAGTGAAGCCCTTTTCCCTCTACATTCTCAACATAGTCTCTATCAGAAGTGTTTGGCTTGTGTTGGGTCCGACTTGGCCCGGGCGGTCAAAATCAACTTTAAACACACAGATGTATCTTCAAATGTGACTAAATCTATAGATTAGTGTTATATCTACCTATACACCAATTTATAATGTCACAGATCGCAGTATTTATAGAAGACATGGGGCTTAAAGTGAAGCCCTTTTCCCCTCTACATTCTCAACATAGTCTCTATCAGAAGTGTTTGGCTTGTGTTGGGTCCGACCTGGCCCGGGCTGTTAAAATCAACTTAAACCTCACAGATGTATCATCAAATGGATTCACATCTATAGATTAGTATTATATCTACCTATACATCACTTTATAATGTCACAGATTGCAGTATTTATAGACAACAAGGGGCTCGAAAGTGAAGCCCTTTTCCCTCTACATTCTCAACATAGTCTCTATCAGAAGTGTTTGGCTTGTGTTGGGTCCGACTTGGCCCGGGCGGTCAAAATCAACTTTAAACACACAGATGTAACTTCAAATGTGATTAAATCTATAGATTAGTGTTATATCTACCTATACACCAATTTATAATGTCCAGGTGTGTCGC